GTTATCATGATTGGTAGTTTATTGTAAATAATAACGTACATTTCATTTATTATATTGATAGATTACAATTAATTTGTTATTTAGTTTATAATTAATTGTAATGAATATAAAAATAACTTTATAATTGAAGTTACGATTAAATATTTGTATTTAAACAATAAATTATTTAAAATATTTGTTCAAATTAAGTTACATTAAAACAGATTATACTAAAACCTTTTGTCTTTTTTAAATAATTACATAAATATACAACAAATACTAATTTATTATAATGTTTTATAAATAAATACCTGGGTTACTTGAAATATAAATTAACTAGCTAATAATTAACCACTTATAACTCAAGTGTAGTAACAATAACATAATTAAGTCTTACATAAGTTAATAAAACACATGTTCACTAATTCACTCAACACTGAAAAATCAATCATTAAATCTCAACATAACTCCATAGAGTATAATGATTGCCAGCATTTATTATAAGGTATATTGAATTACAATTAGTGTTAATCCGAATAATTATCGTACAATTCCCTAATAAGCGGTCCATAGTTTTGAATGTATTGCTTATATTTGTTATATTCAAATACTCGACGCAATTCATGAAACACTTGTAAATCACTCAATGATTTCATTATTGTTTGTAATTTTGTTTGCGATTCCCATTCCGAGCGGTATTTTAATAGTAGATATCTTTGCAGTAAATATATATACAGTTGTTGTTCGAGTCTATAGAATAATTCAATTAAATAGTTATTAGTTTATACAGTATAATAATAATATTATTATTTTTGAATATGTTTATAAATAATGTATACATATCTTACATAATATTTTGTCTGTGCGTTAAATGCTGTCGATTGGGACTGAAGAGTAGTATTGATAAAATCTATATTACATAAAATTAAATAATTATTTATTTAATGTATTTCGTAATATTAGTAATAATTACCAATTCGTGTATCACTTTATCTTCACATAAATCCTGCAATGGTTTCAAAATTGTTTTATAATTATACTTTTGTTTTAGCTCACAATTGAGTTCAATTAAGTCAAAGGAAATCACACCACGAGTGTTCTCATCCTATCAATGCATTTAACAAGTATTAAAATAAATATTGAATTGAATTAAAACCTTAATTACATATTAGATTAAAATTACCAATATAAATTCAAAACTATTATCATTAATATTGTAATAGTTGACAGCTCTGACAAAATTAACATCGTTAAATCCATATTTAAATAGTGCTAGCTGGTCTTCAAAGCATATATTCATAAATCCATTCAAACCATTTACGTAGGAATGCATTACTTTAACACCAATTTCGGTGTGTTTAGCAATATTGGGAATTTGGATTAATTCCCGTATACTTTGGAAGTGATATGTTTTCAAAAGTTTCATTTTTTGCTTCATATCAAAGGGAATGTCATATATTTTGGACGCGTTTATGAGTTCTTCGATACGATTGATCGCTAATTCATTCAAACCGTTATAATCTGTAATCTCATTAATTACGGGAATAATTGTTAATTTTTGTGATATTTGTTTCATAGCATGAGTTGTGGTATAGATTTCAATGTCCATAATCTCTTGGTTCAGCTCATCATCACTGATATCGAGAGTGTTATCAATTAGTTGTAATACAAATTCATTGTTATCACTGTTTTCATCACTAGATTGAGACCCGATTGATGTCTCGGTTGCGGACGAGTCCACAGATTTTGGCCATTCAGTTTCGGGCCGTATTTGAAGACTATTTTCATTGTCTGTAACTTTTTGTATCTCATTATCACATCTAATTCGTATGATTTCCTAACAAATTGCAAAATATTTATAATTAATTTTAAAAAAACAATAATTAATTGTCATTACTTTTTTCATACCCACAGAATAGCACTTATCAATTCTGCATTTCATACATTTAGTCCTTGTTTTCACGTTAACAACACATATACCACCGGATGAACACTTTGTTGACTATTAAATTACAATTATATATAATTATCATTTAAATTAATTTAATTTTTACCTCTCGTTTGAATGCATGTCGTCTGAAGAATGACTTACAGGACTGACAGGTAAGGGCACCGAAATTACGAGCTATTAATTGCAATCAAAACATAGGCCACGTTATGGTTTATATGTTTAAAGTAACTAAAATTTAATTTATAGTGTTTTACTAATAAGTGCTTACCATTGGCCACATCTCCGCAAACTTCACAAATTTTTTCAATTTTATTGCCACTCATTTTTAATAATCATAACAACTATGTAATAAATAATAATAATGCATCTATGTCCTTCATACTGTTTGTTTAGCTAGTATGCAGCAATCAATGTAATTGTCAATAAATTGTCAAGGTTATAACAAAGATTGTTGTGAATGGTAACGGATTACATTAACAATCAATTACAATGTACATTTAATTTAATATTGAGTTTGTGATTAAATTTAATAAAATTAAATAACTTACTAATTAGAAAATTATTTAATTACAAACTTGTGTTTAAATAGAAGTATCATTAAAAACAAATAATAATAAAAACTTTTACAATGCATTAAAAAATTTAAAATATATACACAAAAAAAAGGTTATTATAATGTTTATTATACATTTTAACAAAAAATAATTACAACACAAATTACCAAGTTAAACATTAGCCATATATTTCTCTGACAATTGGCCCGCAATTATGTAAATAAGGTTTATATAAGTCGGGGAAACATTTCTTCACCAATTCATTCATTACTTGAATATCTCTCAAAGTATTCATCAAATTCTGGACTTTTAGCTGTGTTTCAAATTCTGATCCGCATTTCAATAGTAAATATCGTTGCAATAAATATATGTATAATTGTTGTTGAAATCTATTTACAATTAAAATACAGATAAAATATTGTGGTTATTTAATTTATTCAAATATGTTTGTTCAATATTATTTTCAATAAAACTTACATAATGTTCGGTTTATGCAATATATTTAGTCGATTGGGATTAAATAGTGTTATTGCAGCCAACTAGAGCAAAACAATTATAACTTATCAAGTTTACAAATATTGTTAAATCAATCTACAAAATATATAAAACAATCTATACCAATTCAAGAATCACATTATCTTCACATAGATCCATTAGTTTACGTATTATAGATCTATAACTATATTTAGATTTGTTAGCAGGACCATTTAAAACTAAATCCAGATCTATTACAAAACAAATGTTCTTTTCCTAAGTAAATAATAATTTAAAATTGTTTCATTAGATCAAAATAGATATTAACTATAATAACATATTAGTTAATAATCTAACCTCGTTAGCAGTGCGAATCTCATTATTATGTAAAAATTTTAATGATTGAATTATGTTAAAATCACCATGGCCGTATTTAATCAATGTTAACTGATCTTCGGTACAAATTTCAGTGAAAATACGCAAACCATTGGCATAATTGATAATTGTCTTTATGGACGGTTCCGCTACTCTGATCACACATTCATGTAATTCCGATAAATTCCCGATTCTGTGGACTTTAAAGTGTTTCAACTGTTTATTAAAGTCTTTGGGAATTTTGTAGATTTGGGAAGTGTTTAGGAGTTCACTAATCCGTGTAATTTCCAGCTCTTTTAGTCCGTTATAATCTATTAATTCTGTGAACATTGGAGTAATGGTTAGTTTGTGTGATAGTTGTTGAATAGTATTCGTGATATTAATCGCCACATAGTTTTCAATGTCCATAATCTCATGATTTAGATCATCATCACTGATGTCGAGAGTGTTGTCCATAAGTTGTGATAGAAATTCATTGTTTTCATCACTAGATTGAGTCCCGTTTGATATATCGGTTGCGGACGAGTCCATAGAATCTGGACATTGAGTTTCGGCTCGTATTTTAAGTCGATTTTCATTTATAACAACATTTTGTGTCTTAATATCACTTCTAATTTGGATGAATTCCTAATAAATCGGTCAAATATTTTGCAAATAAAAATATGATTTTAAAATAACTAATTTTTTCTCACTTTTCTCATACCGACGGCAAAACATTTATCAATTCTGCATTTAATACAATTAGTCCGTGTGTTTACGTCAACATTGCATTTGCCAATTAATGGGCAAATTATTGACTATTAAATTACAATCAAATATTATTATTCATAAAACATTAATTTAATTTTTACCTCTTGATTAAAAGCATGTCGCCTAAAAAACGACTTACAAGGTTCGCAGCTCATTATACCGTAATTTCGGGCTAAACATTACAATCAACACATATCAGTACACTTCTGAATATAGTTTTTATTTAATTATGTTTTATGTAATAGTATTTTAATAACAAATCCTTACCGATGGCCACATCCCCACAAATTGCGCAAATTTTTTTACTTTTATTGACACTCATTTGTTGACTATTATTACACTAATAAACAAATTTAGTAACAATTTAATAAATTATATATTGCATTAAATCACAATGCACAATGAAAATAATTTATATTTAGCACCTATATCACTTATAGGAATCTAGATGCGAGAGTACTCACAGTACTCGTCATCATTGTTGTATACTTATCAAAGTTATCAGAGTTTTGAGCTTGATAATAATAATAATTTAATAAACTACTGTACATAAATTTACAATGTTACAATGCAATCACGTATTAATATTACGTCAATGGTATATTTAAATACCAATAGGATAAATATAAATTATAATTTTTTATTACTTAACAAAAGGTTGCTATTTATACCTCATTTTATAGATTCAATTAAATAATATAACCAGTAATGCAAATAATGAATTTTTACAATTACATAATAACAATATTATATTGACAATGTCAATATACCATGATGATTGTATGATTATTCATATATTTCTTTAACAATTGGTCCGCTATTCTGGAGATAAGGTTTATATAAGTCGGGGAAACAATTCCTAATCACTTCATTGTATACTTGAATGTCAATCAAAGAATTCATCAAATTCTGGACTTTTAACTGTGCTTCAGATTCTGAACCGCATTTCAATAGCAAATGTCTTTGCAATAAATATATGTATAATTGCTGTTGAAATCTATTACCAATAATAATTCAATTAATACATACAAATGAACCACGATTAATTATTTTCAGTATACTTACACTATAGTATCCTTATGCAATAAATTTGGTCGATTTGGGTTAAATAAAGTTATTGCCGCTATCTATAACAAAATAAATAATTAATTTAATTATTAAACAAATTGTATAAACAAACTGCAAAATTAATAGTATAATTACAGTATAATAAAATTAAAATATATACCAATTCCAATGTCACACTGTCTTCACATAATTTAGACAGTGTCTGCATTATATGTTTGAGACAATATTTAGTGCCTGGTGAAAAATTATTCGTCAACATGTCTAAACTTATTACCAAGCACGAATTTTCATCCTATATAAATAACAATTATATAATTTATAAAAGTTATAAATGCAAATTATACAATGTATTATGCCTGGATTTACTAGTATGTATAGTATTTTTAAAAAACTAACCTTAAGTGTGGTGTATATATCATTGTTATGCAAATACTTAAGCGACCTGATTGAATTAAATTCACTTAAACCATATTTAACCAGGGCTAACTGATCTTCAGAGCAAACTTCAGCAAACGCTGGCAAACCGTTGACATAACTCATGAGTGCGTTAATAGAGATTTCGGTCACTTTGACCACACATTCGAGCAGTTCTGACTGATTCCCGATTCTGTGGATCTTATAGTCTTTCATCTGTGTCTCAAAGCCGTCGGGAATTGTGTAGATATGGGCGGCCCTTAAGAGTTCATTAATCCGCGTAATTTCCAACTCTCTTAATCCGTTATAATCCACTAATTTTCTATACATTGGAGTTATGGTTATTTTGCGCGACAACTGGTCCAAAATATCCATAACATTATTCTTGAATGAATTTTCAATGTCCGTAATCTCCCGGATCAGCTCATCTTCGTTAACGTCGAACGTGTTGTCCAACAATTGCGTTAAAAACTCATTGATTTTAGTGTTTTCATCACTTGAGCTGATCTCAGATGACGAGACAATGGATGTCTCGGTGGTCGACGAGACCACTGATGGTTGGGTTTTATCTCTTTTACGTTTATTATCGCCAATCAATTGCTTTCGTTTCTCCAATTCATCGCTATTTCGTATGAATTGCTAACAAAACAAATTAAATCCATTATAAAATTACAATCAAATTAAGTGGTAATCAATTTTCTCAATACATGTTTCATTCCGACAGCAAAACACTTTTCAATTCTACATTTTTTGCATTCACTTCTTGTGTTGATATCCATAACACAAATGCCATTTAAGTCACAAATGAATGTCTGTTAAGATTAATTAAACTAAATTAAAAACAATATAAAAATATATCATTATCAAATAAATTAATATTTTAGTTACAAACCTCTCTTTTAAGTGCATGTCGTCTAAAAAAGGCTTTACAGGGCTCGCAGGTTATGGCACCAAAGTTTCGGGCTATTAATTACAATTAAAACAACCATAATGTAATTACCATGGACATTATTATACAGGCAAATATTATAACATACAAAGGGCTACATCACCGCAAACCACACAAATTTTGTCGCTTTTATTGGCAGTCATTTCTTAATCATTACTTTAGTGTTGTATAAATCAAATCAACAAAATATTGTACCAAAAATATAATGAAAACTATTATATCTAATGGATATCAACTAATCTCGTTTCCTAGACATTGACATACTTTGTATCATGTAACATTTATTATTATAAATTAATAATTTCGGTGCATTTAATCAAGGTGCATTCACTTGTGATGACATCCAGTGTCTGACTATCCGCTGAAGTGACCAAGTACCTGGAGGTGTGGCCACTTATTGGCAGATATCTTTGTTTTAAAACTAATAATAATAATAATATAATTGCTTTACGACTTGGAATTAATAGACAGTAGACTTCAGTTTATTTGTTTTAAATTTAAGTTTTAAATTTATACAAAGAGTAAAAGTTTCTAGTTCCGAAAGAGTTATCAAACATACATATTGTGGTTAATATTTTATAATAAATCTGATCAGAAAATCGTAGAATTTAATTTGATCAAATAAATATCAATTGATTACTAATTTCATGCAATTAAACGAATAATAAATTAAGTGTTAATTAATTATAAGTGGTTTTTATTTCGAAATATCTTGTATTTTATGCGATATTTAGCTCACAAAATATGAATGAAACGAGAGATTTGTTTGAGACACTCATAAATCACTACAAAACATAGAGATTAAAGAAACCAAAAGTTACACATCCATTCATTGGGATATCCATTGCCGCCATTCTTCGGATCAGATCTCTTATGAGATAAGCCCACAAATCCAATCGGAATACTCGGCGCCTATTTTCGAGTGTGAAGACTATAAAGTGGATGTAGTCATCGATCATATCTTCATTACCGGCAGCGATGCTGAGCTGATCCACACTTGCAAACAGTTCCAGTATATGCCTTTCGATGTGACCATTGCTGTTATTACCGATAATAATGTGTTTCAATTTTGGCATTTTTGACACCAAATCCAAACACAGATAAAAACATTCATTACATTCGTATCCATTCAAACACTCCGAGCAATAATACATGTGATCGACACTCAATTTGCGGACATTTGGCAACATTTTGGCCACATTTGACCACCGATTCGGTGAACACTTTAGGCCATAAAGCGATAGTGTCTTTAAGGACACCATTGGCCGCATATATCTGGCCATCTCTTGAGTGTCGAAACAGAATTTGTGGTCGAAATGTGTACTCATGTCAAGCGATTGTAAATGTTTTAGTTTTGCGATATTTTCGGCAAATTCTTGAATTGAAATGTCGACCAAAACAATCTTTAAATGTTTAAGTGCTTTGAGACGATTGCAAATCATTATAAACCACTGTTTCCAGAGATCAATGTCGTCAAAATCTTCTGGTCTATAAGACTCACAAACCGATAGTTTGTTAATTTGTAGGCATTTACTTGTGATCACATCCATTGCCTGACTGTCCGCTGAAGTCAAACCGATTTCTAAGGATTGGATGTTTGCCGACAAACAGTTGGTCAGTACTGATAATGTAATGGTTTGGTTACCACTTAATCGCCAGACGTTCACACTTTGAAGTGATGGCAAGTATTTGATAATATCTGCGAGAAGTGACACATATTTTCTATCAATACCTCCGATAGTAATATATTTTACTTTAATGAGAAGTTGTGTCCATTCGGTGATAGTTTTGTCACTCGAGTCATAGATATCTATGTTATAGACTAAGAGTTCTTCGAGATGTGGCCACTGATTGACGATCAGCTCTAATGTCTTGAAACTGATTACAGTTGTGGACAGATATAACTTCTTCACGTCTCGGAATTGACGGACAATTGACTCCATATTTTGGTTGCGGTTGTGATTCAAAACCAAATTAATACCAATGAAACTGATCGCTGGTGTGATATCAATGCGGTTCCAGTCTTTGACTTTAAAGTTGCGTTTAAAATGTCTCAAACTTGAGTCCGCCTTCAGATCATTGAACCCAACGCTCACTTCTGTCTTCTTCTGCAGCACTTGTTGTGAACAACGGCTGAACTGTTGTGACACTCGTTGTAATGAAATCAAGTCTTTGAGATATAAATCTTTGAATATATCCAACAGAATGTCATCATTCATGACATGTCTTCTTCTGGAACTCATTTCTTCTATACTTTCATTTTATTTCAATTCTTTGATAACTTTTTCTAAAATAAATTAATTGTAAATTTCTAACTGATTTTCAAATCATCCAAAATATATAAACTTATTGTTAAAAATTTAAAAATTGCGTTCAAAACTAAATTAAATCACTTGTTAGCAATATTTTTAAAATTAAATCGCTATTATATTTATTAGTTTAAAATAAATGTGCTAAATATAATAAAATAGACATGGTAAAATAGTTTCCAAAAAGCATATTTATAAATCATGTATCTCTTTAAAAAGTGGTCCCAAATATTGTGTATTTGGTTTGTATTCTTCGATTCCTATCATTTGAAACTCATTTAAAGTTTTAATATCTTTAAACACATTCATCAGTGATTGCAGTATTGTTTGTGACTCCCATTTAGATCTATACCGCAATTGAAGGTATTTTTGCAGCAAATAAATATATAACTGCTGTTCGAGTCTAATAAACAGTGAATTAAAACTAATTAATTGTAATTAAAAATTTACAAATTATTTCCAACACATACTTTACATTATTTCTATGCAATAGATTCGGTCGATTGGGATTAAATAGCGCTATCGCTGTTAACTATTAACATAATTATTTAATTGTTAATGTAATAAAATGAATCAACATGGATAGTTTTATACCAAATTTAAAACAACAAGGTCTTGTTTCCATACTGACATAAACTTGTTTACAAATCGCCTTAAGAGCGCCACATTATCCACGCCATCAAATTCAAATAAATTTATATTCACGGCAATTGCTGTCCCGTTGTCCTAAGCATGATCATTTTTACTAATTAAAACTTTATAATAATGCATAATCTGTTTATACACAGTATATGATGACAACCACTGACCAGATTAATGCCAAAACACTCGCTTCTGGTGTCGTAGAAGACAATACTCCGGATGGTATTGACATCAAACCAGCCATACTTGACAAGCGATAACTGATCCTCAAAACAGATATTATCACTAAATGAACGCAATTTCTGCGTAAAGTCGATAAGATATTGGATCTGCCATTCGCTTCGGCGGTCAGTCACACGGATGTACTCGTTGTGATCTGTTATCTTACGTATCCTTGTATTGAGTGAATACTCGTATATCTTAGAGGCTGTCATCAGGTCTCGGATCCGATTGCACTCCAATTGATTCAAACCGTAAGAATCGGTCATTTGTTTAAATACGGAAATTATTGCCGATTCTTGTGATTCGTGTGAATTACTGTCTAATGAATTGTCATTTGTATTATCACTGCTATCTATAAACCATTCTTCTGGTACTTTGATAACACTTTCTCTATTAATTGTAATATATTTGTCAATTATTTCATCGCTTGTGTTGGGATGTGTTGTGTCTGTAGATAAAAGATTGGGAACCGTTTCGGTGACTTTCATATTATGGCGTCTATTTCTTGCCAACTCTTTCTTTTTCTCATATTTAGCCACACTTTGTATTAATTCCTAAATTAATTAATAATTAATAATTTAAAAAATGTAATAAAATTTTATAATAATAATGATTACTTTTTTCATCCCAACGGCAAAACACTTCTCGATTCGGCATTTTTTGCACCACTTTCTAGTCATTGAATTCAATACACAATTGCCATTAGATTTACATTTAAATACCTATTAATTAATATATAATTTGTTAATTATGTTCATAATATAAGGTTCATATTAATAATCACCTTGCTAGTTATAGCAAAACGTTTGAAAAACTGTTTGCACGGTTCACACGTAATGGCCATAAAATTTCGGCCTAAATATAATTTTAAAAACAATTAATTGTATAATAATTAATTAAATAAATATATAACACATTTAATAATTGATTTAACATACCAACAGCTGTATCGCCACAAATCTCACAAACTCTGTCCGCGTTATTATAATTCATTATAATTTATTTAATTACAACTATTATTAATTGTAACTTTAATTACAACGGCATTATTTGTTACATATTATTATTATATTGTGACGTAAAGTAAACACCAAATACAGTACAGGCAAACAAACACACAATTTTATTTAAACCATATTAAGTTTATCATTGAACATGATTGATATGGGAATAGTAAATGTGTAATCAAGTGTAATCAATTTATTATTCTGACCTAGACTGCGTGTAACATTTTTTATCATATTTAATTGAATTATGATATTTTTATATATAAATTGTCGTATAATTCCATAACAAGTGGTCCGTAATATTCAATATATTGGGGGACATAAGTAATTAACATTTAAAAAACAAGTTTTAATTAATCATAAAAATAATACAATAGGTTAGAAGATCACTGTATTTATACAAAAGTAGTAGTTTTCAAATAGAAATGCAATTTTACAGCAAATATACAAAATATACTAATAATCATTGATTTTGCAATAATGTTGTTATGTTTAGTACAGGTTTTAGAGCTAATAATAATAAAATAGATAACAATTGGGAATATCGTGTATAATAAGGTATTAGTAATTCCTGTTATCTTAACTAATGTTAACTAAGAAAGTGAAAAATACATTCACAATAAATATTAATAAAAAGCACACTTTGTTTTAATCACAAATAGCATTGCGTGACAATTGTTTCAAAACCACCACTTCTACGGTAATAAAACCTCTTAACATTAAATCTACGGATTTCAATGGTCTTGAGTTTAGCACTTCCGGCCAACAGGTGTTCGCAAACATTATCCATGAAATGTGTGCCAATAAGGTTAGCAGTCATCTGATAACCAATGAAATGACGGCATTCAAACACCAGTGTCTGCAGCGCCGGTAGTCTTGAGATGTGATCCAAACCCTCGCGAGTGATATTCTCAGTCCTAATGTTTAGGTATTGAAGTCGTTGCCACTGTTTGTCACAATTAATAAACCATTTATCACTCAATTGACACGAATGTAGTGTTAAATGCGTTAATCGGTGGCAGAGTTTCAACGGATCCAGAAATGTGTCGTTGATTTCCACACAAAGTTTTAAATCAAAACGTCTTAATCTTTGATAAGATATCAACGAATCCAATGAGTGGTGATATAATCGGACAGTTGTTTTAGATCTCAATATAAGTGCCAATCGTTTCAATTGCGGGCACTTCTGGCCGATTGTCCGCAAAGACTCGTTCAGTGAGTTCTGGCCGTAGTTTAGGCTTAAATCGAGTTTCAAATCCCGTAATTGCGGTAATCGTGACAACTGTTCAGTGGTTTTAACCAAACTCTCGTGAGATTCGCATATATTCGCAGATTTAGTACTTCTTAGGGATTGATTATCGCCAGCGAATGGACACAACTGTCGGTTATCTTGATATCTCTGGAACTCATTGATTGTCATTCTTTGGGAGCCAATGGTGTGAATGTGTGGACACTTGCGGTCAATTGTGACCAAATTTTCGGTGATTTTCTTTCGCATTATCTCGCGAAGAGTGATGTCGACAACACTCTCGAAGACAGTCCTCTGGAACTGTTTGGACACACATTCGCAGACAAAGCGGTCGTCGAATGAAAGGTACGACAGTATGAGTCCACACAAGTCATCACCGAAACGATCGAAAGAGTTCTTCGCGAATATCTGTGGCTAAAAATGTGAGACAATTGTAAAAACAATCACAAACTCAATGAACACACAATTGTTTTGTCACTCAATACCTGTTGTATGTCTTCGGTGTCATCTGTGATAACGAGTGATGTCTTCATTTGTGTCATCTCTTGTGCCATATCTTTGGATCAAATGAAGTGATAGTTTGTATTAAAGGGACACAAAACATGTGTTAATAAATACTTTCAATATTTGCCGCTTAGAAGTGATGCCATAAATAACATGTAAATAACGTTTAGATATTAAAAGTAATCCCTTTTTACCCCTAAATTCAGTTAAAGTTTACAAAAATTAATTAATTAAATATAAAACTAATTTATAAGTTATTAATTGTGTATTTGTTTGCAGTAAAGATATATACAGTTGTTGTTTGAGTCCAACGATATGTTACACAAAGTTTGTTAACATGTTTTTTGTGTGTTTGGTATCAAAACTAAATTAACTTAAAATTTAATCCGAAAAATAACTCACAATTAGGAAAACGATAGAAAATTAAAAATCAAACTAAAACTTATATAAATTACATTACAATACCATTGGTTTGCAATTTAATTATACAATTTCTGGCAATTAATGATCATTTTGTGGATCCGTTTGTATTCATATTTTCTATTGATTTTTGTATTGAAATACTATTTTTTTGCATTCTTTGAGATATAATTGTGTTTTTCAATCACTTTTAATGTTTAATGTGTTTAATATTAATTATAGTTTCAAATTACTAAATAAACGCAAATATTAAAAACAAATTTCTGAATATTGTATAAATAAATAGACATTTAATTAAGTTTTATAGCAATTTTTATTCAAATTCTTATGCATTTTATTCATACAATCGTTTACTAAATAGAAAATATTGATTACATTTTACATTAAATGAAAACTATTTTAAAACAATTAAAGCAAGAAATTTATTTATATAAGAAAGTAATTTAAACAACTAATTGTATGATAGCTTTCAATAAAACATTACCGATGAGGGCATCATTATATCACTATAATTATGCACTACTTTATGCATTGCATTCCACTCATCACTTCTTCTCTTGGGTTCGCTTTCCTTACTTTCATCTGATTTCTTAGACTTCTCTTTCAACACTTCATTACTTACTTCCAGCCATAAGTTGTTTGTTATAGCATTTAAATAAACCAAATCGTGTGACTCTCGGGCCATAATTTGGTCAAACATTGTCTTCAGAGCCGCTCTGAAACGGCACACAACAGATCTGGTCGGCTGAGCGTATGTGAAGGCAACTCTGGCCAGAGTTAACACGTTATCGACGGCCAACATCTCAAACAATCGGCTTATGATCGTAGCGTACAGGCCATGCATCCCATACTTGTCGGCAATTTTGGCGATTGTCTCAATCGTCTCGACTGTAATCAATGTCTCCAAGTGTTTGCCGATGGCGTCCACCAAACGGGTCACGCGGTAATTGTGTGCGAACTCGAGGACATCACCGATCAGTTTGAGATCATTGGCATTGGTTAGGATCAGCGAAGAGGTTAACATGAATCCGATCATAGTATTGATGGCGTCGACAGTGTTTTCATTAGCGGCGATGTCATTGACCACCGCTTTATTTCGCGCTAACATCTCTCTAAACACCGGACTCTTCGTCTTTAAGAGGGCTCGAAGTGTGGGCACTCTCTGGCCATTCACTATGAAGTGGACACCGCTTTCCGATTCATTCCTATAGTAATACATCGCCGGATACCTCTCGAAGTCGATCGATGTCTTTGATTGCAAATCAATTGAGTTGTTAAACGAGTGATTAATCTAATGTATGTTATCATTACCTGATTGCCGGTGTCTTGGGATCCGTTGCGCGCATTTCCGGTCATTTTGCCGATGAGTTGATCTTCAGATTGTTTTCAAAGTGTGGATCAAATGGACGTTAAATCACAATTCAATACAACGATTGAAAAGTTTGACCAAAAATGTGAGAAAATGTGTGATTTTTGTGTTTAAAAACTTTTGTAAAACTATTGACAGTATTTTGACTGAAATGCTATTCTTTACGATATAATGGTTTTTCAATCACTTTTGAATGTTTAATGTTTTTAATATGAATTGTAGTTTTAAATCACTAAATATATCATAAATTTAATTGTTTTTATAAATTAATAGACTTTTAATTGATATGTATTTAGTTTTATTTCAATTTTCACACAAATTACAAATTAATAACAAGTCATTTATAAAACTAAAAATTAATTACAAATTGAAATAAAGTGTTTATAATTTAAAATAATACAAATTTATACAAACGTTATAATTAAGACATTAATTAGAAATAATACAAAAAATTTAAATCAAATACAAATTTAGACATTAAAATAAATAATACAATTAAAGTGTTTTAAAACTAATATTAAATAAAATAAAGTTGTTTTTCAATTCAATCAAACATTTGCAGCACTTTTACGGCTATAAAACTTTGACAACTTTTTTACACGCATTTTAATTGTCTTCAGTTTAGGACTTTTGGACAACACTTCTTCGCAGACATCACCCATAAAACTAAGGTCTCCGGTCTTCAGTTTGATGACACGACCCATGAGTTTAACGCATTTAAACACCAGTATCTGCAGCGCCGGTAGTCTTGCGATGGCATCCAATCCCTCGCGAGTGATATTCTTAGGCCTAATGTATAGGTATTGAAGTCGCGGCCAATGTTTGTCGCAATTGTCGAGAAAAGTGTCGTTCATTTGCGACGATTTGATCGACAAATGCGTCAATCGGTGGCAGAGTTTCAACGGTTCCAACAACACGTCATCGATGGCCTCAGAGACAGATAACTGTAAATACAATCGTCTCAAACGTGACAAAAATTTCAATGACTCTAATTTGCGGCCAATGAGTGGCGACTCATTTGCGATTAATTTGAGTTTCAATCGTTTCAATTGTCGGCAATTCTGGCCAATTGTCCCCAAAGAGTCGTTCAGTGAGATCTGGCCGTCCGTTAGCTCCAAAGTAAGCGTCAAATCGCGTAATTGCGGTAATCGTGACAATTGGTCGGCCATTTGGGTCAGACTCTCGTCAGTATTGCAGTCAATGAAATTCAATCTAACACTTCTTAGGGACTGATTCCCGGCCACGAATGCGGACAACTCTTCGTGATCTTCGAAATAATCAAAGATTTCAAATCTCTGCAAATTAGTGGCCAACAGTCGGTTGTGTCGGTCGCCGAAGACAGTGAACAACGATTCCGCACGCAATCGAGACAATCGACCGCAACGTCTGAGCCATTGTTTGCGCTCTTCTGAAACACTGCCGACTCTCGTGACGAGTGGTCCGAACTGTTGCAGCAATTGGTGAACATTTCCGTCAATATTGCAGTAAATGTCCCGAAAATGGTAACGAAATATACGCAACACTTCAGCCATTTGTGTCACACATCGACTCTCTATTCTTCGGAAGTCAAAGGTCTGAATGTTGGGACACTTGCGCCCGATTTTGGCCAACAGTTCACTGTTTGAGACTCTGATCCGCGATTCTTGTGAATACTTGTCGTGAATCTCGATATCGACAACACTCTCGAAGACAGTCCTCTGGAACTGCTGTGACACACATTCGCAGTCAAGGCGTGTGTCGAGCGAAAGATATGACAGAATGAGTCCACACAAGTCATCACCGAAGCGATCAAATGAATTCTTCGAGTAAATCTTTGGCTAAAAAGGTGAGACAAAAACATAATTAAAATTCAATAAAAACTCAATTGTTTGCCAATCAGTACCTGTTTTATGACATTGTGTTCTTCGCTGTCATCTGTGATCACAACCGGTGTCTTCGCGTCCATCTGTGGCTAAAATGTGAGACAATTTGAAAAACAATTAAAAGTGAGTAAAGAGTCAACTCTTTGCCAATCAATACCTGTTCTAAGTCTTCGCTGTCGTCGTACTCGTCATCAGAAGTGTCTGACAATGTGTTCGTGGATGGCATGCATTGACCCATTTCTTGGGATCAAATAAAGTGATTGTTTGCAATGGATTGGTATTTAAAGTGTATTTCCGTTGCATTAAAAGCACACAAATGTCACAAAACAATGAAATAATGATTTAAATGATGCGATACTTAAGTCGCGAGACATTTAATAACACGATAATCACTGCACAGATATTGTAATGAAATTAAAATATCAATTAAAACACATTACAAATAGTTATTTAAAAAGCTATAATTAATAAAACACATGAAAATAAGTCACACATGAAATTAAATACAAAATACAATAAAAAGTTTTGATATTATTTCAAATAAAAATAATTGTCTTTCAGTTCAATCAAACATTTTAAGTATTTTTACGGCAATAAAACCTTTTCTCATTGAATACATCGATTTCAATGGTCTTGAGTTTAGGACTTCTACGCCACAGATCTTTGTAACAATCGATGGTACAAAAGCAACCAAAACCATAAAACCAAAAGTATTTAAACCCCAGTGTCTGCAGCGCTGGTAGTCTTGAGATGTGATCCAAAACATTGAGTTTGATTTTATATGAGTCAATGAATAGGCATTGAAGTCGCGGCCAATGTTTGTCACAATTAATAAACAATTTGTCACTCATTTGATGCAATTTGAGCGATAAATGTGTTAATCGGTGGCACAGTTTCAACGGATTCATAAACTTGTCATTCGTCTGCGCAAAGAGAGTTAAATCCAGACGTTTTAATCTGTGATAATAAATCAATGAGACAATTGTGTGGTCAGTGATTGGCGAGTGATTTGGTGTCAATTTAAGCGTTAAACTTTGCAATTGCGGGCACTTCTGGCCGATTGTCCGCAAAAACTCGTTCAGTGAGTTTTGGCCAATCATTAGCTGCACATTGAGTCCCAATTCCCGTAATTGTGGTAATCGTGACAACTGTTCGGCCATTTCGATGATAGTCTCGTGACTAACATTACTGTAGAAATAATTATTGTAAAAGACTTTAAAACTTTTTAACGACTGATTCTCGGCTACAAATGCGGACAATTGTTGCATATCATCGGTTGGATTGCGAAACAACTCAATTCTCCGCAAATTCTTGGCCAACAATTGACCGGAAGTGTTGTCGAAGACGTCGGATAACCGCTGGACACGTAAACAAGAAACGCGACAATGAATGAGCATTTGGTTCTGGTTTAGCGAAATATCGCCGATTCTTGTGATCAATCGTCCCAACGATGGCAACAAATGGTAGACATTTAGATCATAATTGCAATAAATATAACGCAAATTGCGATTCAAATTGGAGACAAATATGGTTAACATTTCTACGAATTCCATCAGACATGTGCTCCGTATTCCTCTGCAGTCAATGGTGTGAATGTTTGGACACTTGCGGTCGATTGTGGCCAACATTTCTCTGTTATAGACACTGATCCGCGATTTTGTTGCTTTCTTGTCGTGAATAGTAATCTCAAAAACACTGTCGAAGGCTGTCCTCTGGAACTGTTTGGACACACATTCGTAGTCCAGACGCTCGTCGAGTGTGAGGTACGAGACTATGAGTCCAAATAAATCATCACCGAAGCGATCAAATGAGTTCTTCGCGTAGATCATGGGCTAAAATGTGAGACAAAAAAAATGATTTAAAACACAATAAACAGTCAATTGTTGGCCAATCAATACCTGTTCTAAGTCTTCGTTGTTGTCGTTCTCGTCATCAGAAGTGCTCGTGAATGATATGCATTGTCCCATTTCTTGGGATCAAATGAAGTGATGGTTTGCAATGAATTGGTATTTAATGTGTATTTTCCGTTATTAAGACAAATGTTACAAAATAATAATTTTAATTATTTGTCAATCATTTAAGTCACGAGACATTTAATAAAGTGTTAATTACGGCACAGATATTGTAAAAAAAGTTCAAAAACATTACAAATAATTATAAATACATATAATTAATAAAACACATGAAAACAAATCACATTAAATAAATGAAATACAAAATACAATTAAACGCTTTCACAGTATTTAAAATACAAAATAAAGTTGTCTTTCAATCGCTTCAAACATTTACACCATTTTTACGGCAATAAAACTTTGAGACTTTGTTTGCAAAGATTTCAATTGTCTTCAGTTTAGGATTTTTGGATAACAGATCTTCGCAGACATTATCTATGAGATCATGGCTTTCAGCTTTTATACCATTGACTCGAAAGGATCCAAATACAAGTGTCTGCAGCGCTGGAAGTGTTGAGATGTGATCCATTAACTCGCGAGTGATATCTTCAGTCCTAATGAAAAGGCGTTGAAGTCGTGGCCACTGTTTGTCGCAATTAACAAACAATTTGTCACTCATTGACCACGAATTGAGTGTTAAATGCGTTAATCGGTGGCAGAGTTTCAACGGATCCAAAAACACGTCATCGATGGCCACAAAGAGTGTTAACTCCAAACGTTTTAACCGCTGATAAGTTGTCAATGACTCCAATGAATGGTCTTTTAGTGCGGATTTCTCAGTAAAATTCAATTCAAGTGCCAATCGTTTCAATTGTGAGCACTTTTGGCCGATTGTCCGCAAAGACTCGTTCAGTGAGTTCTGGCCTTTCGTTGGCTTCAAATCGAGTTCCAAATCCCGTAATTGTGGTAATCGTGACAACTGTTCGGCCATTTCTTTCAAACTCTCATGAGATGGATATCTATTATCAGTGAGTTTAACACTTCTTAGGGACTGATTCTGTGCCACGAATGCAGTCAACTGTTCGTTATTATTGGAATTATTGTATGAAAACACAAATCTCTTTAAATTCTTTGCCAACAACTCATCGGTATTCTTGTCGAAGACATCGCATAACTGGTGGACTCGTAATCGAGACAATCGGTGGCAATGAGTGAGTGATTGTCTCTCATTGGCCAAAATATTGCCAATTCTTGTGACCAATTGTCCGAACTCTGGCATCAATTCACCCGTATTTGTGTCTAAATTGCAGTAAATGTGTCGCAAATTGTCCCGAAATATAGCCAACACTTCTGGCAATTGTTTCGTGAATCTGTTGCTTATTCTTCGGCAGTCAATGGTATGAATGTGTGGACACTTGCGGCCGATTGTGGCCAACATTTTCATGTCATTGATGTCAGTCCGCGATCTCTTCACACGACTCGAGTCGTGTAGAGTGATGTCAACAACACTCTCGAAGACAGTCCTCTGGAACTGCTTGGAAACACACTCGCAGTCAAAGCGCTCGTCGAGTGATAGGTATGAGAGTATGAGTCCACACAAGTCGTCACCGAATCTGTCCATTGAGTTCTTCGCGTAAATCTGTGGCTAAAAATGTGATCAAAAAAACAATTAAAACTCAATAAACACTCAAATGTTTAGTCACTCAATACCTGTTGTATGTCTTCGTCTTCGGTGTCATCTGCGGTGACGAGTGATGTCTTCGTTTGTGTCATCTCTTGTGCCATATTTTTGGATCAGATGAAGTGATTGTTTGTATTAATGGTTTGATTAAAGAAACTCTAGTGAAGTGTCTTCTGCTATGAAATGAATGCAAACAAAACAACACATGTTTTGCCGCTTATTATAAGCGATGCCATAAATAACGTGTGAATTACGGCACAAATATTATGGCGAATATAAGACCCCTTTTTTTACTTGAAGTTCATTAAAACATAATTAACTAAATTATTAATTTATAAATAAAGTACAAATTAATATAAATTTTATAGCATTAAAATAATAATACAGTTGTTTAGCGAAACAAATAGTTTTATTCAAATTGAAAAGTTTTGTGGGTTTGAAGTGAAAGTTACAATCAATGCAAATCACATGAAACACAACTCAACTGTTCCGACAATATTCATACCACCAGTAAATATGTTTACCAACGGCTAAAACATTTGCACCCGTTTTACGGCAATAAAATGCGTCCGGATTTAGAGAACTCACTTTAATTGTCTTCAGCCGCCCATTTCTGGCCATCAGGTCGTCGCACACGTTATCAATACAATGATTGCCAATAAGTGATTCATTTACAGTGAAACCAATGAGTCGAGTGCTGTGCAACTCAAGTGTCTTCAGCGCCGGTAGTCCTGAGATTTGGTCCAAACACTCGCGAGTGATAACATAAGTATGAATGCATAGGAACTGAAGTGGCGGCCAATGTTCCGGCAATATATCGCCCAAAGGCTCGTAACTGTTAATTGTGAGCGTTAAGTGTGTTAATGTGTGGCAGTGTCTCAACGGATCCAGGAATAGGTCATCGATGTCCTTAAAGAATATTATTCGCAAACACTGTAACCTACGATACCATCGCAACGAATCCAATGAGTGGCCGTTGAGTTTGCCGTAATTTGAGTCCAATATAAGACCTAATCGTTTCAATTGCGGACACTTCTGTCCAATTGGTCGCAAACACGCGTCCAGTGAGTTGTGGCCCTCCGTTAGACACAGTTTGAGTGTCAAATCACGTAATTGTGTTAATCGTGACAATTGTGCGCCAATTTGGACGACAGTCGCGTGACTTTCAAATGAGATTGCATTAAATATAACAGTATTGAGGCGTTGATTGTCGGCCACCAATGCGGACAACAGTTTATAAACGTCTGAATCATATGTAACTTCAATTGCGCGCAAATTCTTCGCCAATAGTTGGCCGGAGTTGTCGTCGAAGACATCAGACAAGCGGCTGATCCCTAATCGAGACAATCGGTGGCAATGTCTGAGCGATTGTTTTGAGTTGCAGTAAAGATTGCCAACTCGTGTGACCAGTTGTCCCAACTCTGGCATCAATGAAATCATCTGCGGATCTAAATTGCAGTGAATGTGCCGTAAATGTCGACAATTGTCCCGAATTATGGCCACAACTTCGCGAGTGAACAGACGGTATAAGTAAAACATTTTCTGACAGTTAATTGTGTCAATGTTTGGACACTTGCGGCAGATTGTGGTCAGAGTTGTGCTGTCACTGCATTTGGTTCCCGGTTTTCTGCAATACTTGTCTTCAATATAAATGTGGACAACACTCGCGAAGACAGTCCTCTGGAACTGTTTGGACACACATTCGTATGCAAAGCGCTCGTTGAATGAAAGGTACGACAGTATGAGTCCACACAAGTCGTCACCGAATCTGTCCATTGAGTTCTTCGCGTATATCTGTGGCTAAATAGTGAGACAATTGTAAAAACAATGAGAAACTCAATAAACACTCAATTGTTTAGTCACTCAATACCTGTTGTATGTCTTCGTCTGCGATGTCATCTGCGGTGACGAGTGATGTCTTCGTTGGTGTCATCTCTTGTGACATATCGTGAGATCAAATCAAGTGATTGTTTGTATCAATGCTTTGATTAATGAAAATCTATTTAAAGTTTTTTGTCATTAAATGTAAACAAATGCCACAAAACATGCGTTACTTTCAATATTTGCGGTCAAAAGTGATGCAATAAATGATGTGTTAATTACGGCACAAGTATTGCAATAAAAACTTTACCTCTTTTTCATTGCATTTAAAAGTTTATTAAAACATAATTTAAAATATAATTAATTTATAAATCATGTATTCATTTGCAGTGATTATATACAAAGTTATTGTCTCACAATTGGTTTAATTAATACATTGCTGAGTGTTATATGAGTTTTGTACCAAAATTTAGTTATAATAAAAAATATATAAAAAAATAAATACAAGTTATTTATAAAAATATACTTAAATTATTTGAACACAATTTTCAATTACATAACATTTATAACTATTTTTGCGGTAATAAATCGCTCGGCTATTATAGGAACGGATTTCAATGGACACCAGTTTAGCACTTCTGGACAACAGGTCTTCGCAGAGATTATTAAACAAATGATTGCCGACATAGAGAAGAGTGGCTAAGAAACCACTTTCGCATTCAAGTACAAGCGTTTTCAGCGCCGGTAGTCTTGAGATACGGATCAAACTCTCGTGACTGATATCATTAGTCTTAATGTATATGTACTGAAGTCGTGGCCAATAATAGCCGCAATTATCGGGAAAACTGTCGCCCAATCCGTGCCGTGTGGCCAATGTGAGCGTCAATTGTCTTAATCGGTGGCAGTGTTTCAACGGATCCAGAAATACGCCATCGATGGCCACATCCAGTATTAAACGCAAACACTTTAATCGGCGATAATATCTCATCGCTTCGATTGTATGGCCGTTGAGTTTACGATCAGCTGATCTCAACGTAAGCGCAAATCGCTTCAAATGCGGGCACTTCTGGCCAATTGTGCGCAAAGACTCGTTCAGTGAGTTCTGGCCGTCGATTAAATTCAAATCGAGAGCCAATTCACGCAATTGTGGTAATCGTGACAAATGTGCGGCCATTTCGGTCAGAATCTCGTGAGTGTTGTGTGTAATGAAACCTAATCTAACACTTTTGAGGCCCGCATTCTCGGCCACAAACGGCCCCAACAGGTGGTTATGGTGTGAATAAATAGACAATTCAATTGAGTGTAAATTTTTGGCCAAAAGTTGGTCAGTAATGCCGTCGAAGACCCGGTGTAGTGAACTGATCCGTACGCGAGATAATCGGTGGCAATGACTGAGCGATTTGATATTAATTAAGCCAATGTCACCGATTCTTGTGACCAGTGGCCCGAACTCTGGCATCAATTGATTCGTATTTGTGTCTAAATTGCAGTAAATGTGCCGCAAATGCGGACAATTGTCCCGAAATATGGCCAACGCTTCCGGCAATTGCTTCGTATATGCGATGCTTATTCCTCTGCAGTCAATGGTGTGAATGTGTGGACACTTGCGACCGATTGTGGCCAACATTTTCATGTCAGTCACACTCGTCCGCGAACTCGCAGACGACTCGGTAAGAGTGATGTCCACAACACTACCGAAGACTGTCCTCTGGAACTGATTGGACACACATTCGCAGTCAAAGCGCTCGTCGAGTGATAGGTAGGAGAGTATGAGTTCACACAAGTCGTCACCGAAACGATCGAAAGAGTTCTTCGCGAAGATCTGTGGATAAAATGTGAGACAATTGTAAAAACAATCACAAACTCAATGAACACTCAATTGTTTAGTCACTCAATACCTGTTGAATGTCTTCGTCTTCGGTGTCATCTGCGGTGACGAGTGATGTCTTCGTTGATGTCATCTCTTGTGCCATATTTTTTGAATCAAATGAAGTGATTGTTTGTATAAATAGTTTGATTAATGAAAATATGATTTAAAGTATTATTTGTTATGAAATGTAAACAAAAACAATACTTTCAATATTTGCCGCTTAAAAGGCATACAAAATAAATAACGTGTGAATTATTGGCACAATTTTTAGACCTCTTTATCACTTAAAGTTAATTAAAACTTAATTAAATGTATAATTAATATTCAAAACACAATTTATAAATCATGTATTAATTAGTATATAGTATTCACGTATAAAATAAATTCATATAAAACACAATTAAAGTTGTTTTTCAATCGCTTTCAAACATTTACACAACTTTTACGCCAATAAAACGCTTCGTTAGTTTCGGCACAGATTTCAATGGTCTTCAGTCGAGGAGTTCTAGAGAACAGTTCTTCGCAGACATTGTCTATGAAATCATTGCCAACGAAGACAAGAGAAGACACGAAACCAATGAATCGCTTGCATTCAAACGCCAGTGTCTGCAGCGCCGGTAGTCTTGAGACGCGACGCAAACCCTCGCGAGTGATATCATTAGACTTAATGGTTAGGCATTGAAGTCGTGGCCAATGTTTGCGGCAATTGTCGGGCACTTTAACGCTAAATACACACCCTTTGAGTGTTAAATGCGTTAATCTGTGGCAATGTTTCAACGGATCCAGAAATACGTCATCGATGGCCACAAAGAGTCTTAAATCCAAACTCTTTAATCCGCGATAATTAACCATCGATTCAATTGTATGTCCATTGAGTTTATGATTAGTTGAGATCAACGAAAGTCTCAATCGTTTCAAATGCGGGCACTTCTGGCCAATTGTGCGCAAAGAGTCGTTCAGTGAGTTCTGGTCGTCCTTTAGGTCTAAATTAAGCGCCAAATCCCGTAATTCTTGTAATCGCGACAACTGTTCAACCATTTCGACGAACCCGTCGTGAGTCTGATATCCATTATTATTAAATTTAACACTTCTTAGGGACTGATTCGCGGCCACGAATGCGGCCAACATTTCCCTATCTCTTGAATAATAATAAAACTCAATTGACTGCAAATTCTTCGCCAACAGTTGGCCAGAGATGTCGAACACGTCGGGCAGCGAACCGATCCTCAGGCGAGACAATCGGTGACAATGACTGAGCGCTGGTCTTTGGTTTCGAGCGACTCTTCCGATTCTTGTGATGAGTGGCGCCAACACTGGTATCAATTGATCCGTGTTTTCGTCTAAATCGCAGCAAATGTGTCGCAATTTGTCGCGAAAAATGGGCACAACTTCTGGAATCTGTTGCCAATAGATGTGAACCATTCCTCGTAAGTCAATGGCGCGAATGTTGGGACACTTGCGGGCGATTGTGGCCAACATTTCGGTGGCCGACAGCACAGAGATCTCGGTTCGCGTTTTCCTCATAAACCACTTGTGAAGAGTGATGTCCACAACACACTCGAAGACAGTCCTCCGGAACTGTTTGGACACACATTCGCAGACAAAGCGTTGCTCGAGTGAGAGGTATGAGAGTATGAGTCCGCACAAGTCATCGCCGAAACGATCGAAAGAGTTCTTCGCGTATATCTGTGGCTAAAAATTGTGAGACAATTGTAAAAACAATCACAAACTCAATGAACACTCAATTGTTTTATCACTCAATACCTGTTGTATGTCTTTGTCTTCTTCGGTGTCATCTGTGGTGACGAGTAATGTCTTCATTGGTGTCATCTCTTGTGCCATATCTTTGGATCAAATGAAGTGATAGTTTGTGTTAAAGGGACGCAAAACATGTGTTATATAACAATACTTTCAATATTTAGCGCTTAAAAGTCATACAATAAATAACATGTAAATTACGGCACAAAAACTTTTTGACCAAAAGTTATGTTAATGTTTATTAACTTAATCTTAATTATCAATAGTTAAATAACTATAATATAAATATTACGATAATTTATTAAACTATAATTTAATTACCATAATGCAGTTTCAAATAATGTTTATATTTATTAATTTATGTAGATTATTTTCATAAAGTTATACACATTAACTTTTGTAATTAACCTAGAGATATATTAAGTTATTGTTATTAAATTAATAGTTATTGTTAATTACTAGCAAATTAGTACATTACGTAATAAAATATTTATGTAACTTATGTAATTCTACATATGTAATAAATTATGTTGTAAATATAGTACATTAATAGGCATTAATGAGATATCAATTACAGATAAATATTTTTTTGGCACATTTGGTACTATAATACTAACTCATTTAACAAAATTAATCCTGTTTATCTGTGTTTTATTATTACCCGACTATTATAGCCAACAAGCTAATTCAATATACATTTATAAAATTTGTAAATTCAATTTGATCACTTTAATAATTTGATGTGTGTAAATACAAAATGACTATTCCATCATAATACTTTATTGTACATTTAGTTAGATTATAGCAACAATCATTTGATATAATAATTCAAGCTAGGTCATTTAATTCTTTAAAAAGTGGACCCACACTATGTATATTCTCCTTATATTCTTCAATCTTATGACCCATTATTAGTCTATTCATTAGATATAAGTCTTTCAATGTTGTCATTAGTATCGATAGACTTGATTGCGATTCCCATTCGGATCCGTATTTCAATAGTAGATATCTTTGCAGTAAATATATATACAGTTGTTGTTCGAGTCTAACCATTCAGTTAAAACATTATTAAATAATTTATTTTAAAGCATGGTTAAAATAATAGACACTTACTTTACTGTCTGTTTGTGCAATAGATTGGGTCGATTGGGATTAAATATGACAATTGCCAGCAACTGTTTGGGATAAAAACATTTCAATTAACATTATTAATAAAAATATACTATATAACCAACTTAGAATAATAATAATTTCTAATTACCAAGTTGAGTATAACAGTGTCATTATTCCACTGGGGTATGATCCTGTTGAGAAACGACTTGATCAAGCTCACATGATCTATTTCACCATAATTGTAATGTTTTAAATAAAGTCTCATCGATGTGTTGGGTGTCTAATGCGATAAACAGGGTAACAATTAATAAGATTACCATAATTTATATGAGTTAAAAACACTGACCACCGCTAATAGATAGGACTCGGAGTGTGGGTCATAACGGGTAATACTTTTAATGGCCGTCATCTCAATGTAGCCATACTTGACGAGCGCTAACCGGTCTTCGGGGCATATATTGCCGAATGACCGCAAACTTCGGGTAAAATCAATAAAGTTTTTGATAAATAACTCATGACTTCCGCTGGCGATGGTTATAAACTCTGTGAAATCCCTTAAGGTATAGATGTTATCACTCAATGGATAGTCCAAGTTCTTGGACGCTGTCATCAGTTCTCCCACACGAGTGCACTCTAATTGATTCAATCCGTGGTAATCGACGAGTTCTTTGAATACTGGAACCACTGGCATGTGTTGTGGCATATCGTGTGTGTCTGTTGTGATGTAAGTATCGATATCTGTCAACATTTTGCTTAATTCTTCGTCTGATATGGAGTTGTCATCAATTATTTTATCCAAAATATCATTTCCATGACTTGTGTTGTATTGTATTAACTCATTTGCCGGTGAATTGTTAGCCGATGGTAAATATTGATTGTGTTTATCATGAGTTATGCATTTGTTTTGTGGTATTTTCTCTAATTCTTTGCGCTCTTTGTCCGCAAATTTTCTAATAAATTCCTGAATTAAAAATAATATCAAAAATTTAATGAATTATTAATAAATAAAATATATTTCACACACTTTTCTCATCCCTTTGGCGAAACATTTCTCGAGCCGACACTTTTTGCAGTGATGTCTAGTCCTGGTATTGACCACACAATTGCCAGTTGTCTTACATTTGTATACCTAAATAATAAATACAATTTTATTATAAATTTACATTAATATTTTCATAATAACTATCATCATAAATTATCACAAACCTTAGTTTTTAGCGCAAACCTCCGAAAGAATGCCTTACAAGGCTCACATGTTAATACAGTAAAGTTTCGTCCTATCATGATGGTTTTATATTTTTATTATTTATCATGATTTACTAAACAGGTAAGTACACAAATATGCTGTTTATTTCACTTACCTATTGCCTTATCGCCGCATATTTCGCACAGTTTGTCCATTATATTACTTTTTATAAAGTTTAATAATAAACTTATTTAAATATTTAAATAATTATAACGCAATTTGTATTTTCAATAACATTATTGTAAATTGAGTCAATTTATTAAAATATATTTACAACAATATTATATGAACATAAAATGTTATGTTTTTGCACAATAATGTATTTTCAATGAATGGTGTACTGAAATTGCACTAAACGTACTATTCATACGTAAAGTTACATTACCCAATGTTGTCTAGAAATTAGTTGATGATAAAACTAGTTACTATGGCATTGAGAGAGGCATTAGACTTAAACAGCTATTGTAGTTAAGATGCATTTAATACAAAATAATACAATTACCGTAATTAAACCGATATCATTAAAAATATTAAGGTAAACATAGTAATAGGTTCTATAAATTATCGGCTTGTATTGATTTATGGTCTATTATTATTTAAGTTAAATTATTATAATAATTGCTGCAAATGCCTTAATAGTTTTTATAAAGTGTATTGTCTTTTTAATCGTTTTTATAAAATTAGCAAGAATATATTCATTATTTATTTATTTATGGACCAAGATTTATAAAAAAAAAATATTTATAAATAAATAGCAATGTAATGTCAATTATAAGTGGTCATTAACAAACTGTTTAACATACAATTAAATATGGATACAAAAATACACGGCATTTCATATACAGTGATATATAAAACAACACATTTTTGGTACATTTTATTTTTGAAATTTCCAAATTGGAAAAAATATTTATAAATACTGTATAATTAATGAAAGTAATTATATACCGGTTAATCACATCTGGTTGTTATTAAAACACAAAATTAGCCTGATTAGTTACATTATACGTATTTCGTATACCTCTTTGGCCAAAGGACCAAAAGCGTTAACAACATCATTAAATTTAACTAGTTTAGTGCAATCCAATTGCATTTCCCTCAATGTATTTAATTCATGTAAATTATTCATAAGTATCGATAGTCTTGTTCCCGATTCGGACCCATATTTCAGTGATAAATATCTTTGCAGTAAATATATATACAGTTGTTGTTCGAGTCTAACAAACAATTAATTAAATAATCAATTAATTTATTCATAACTTGAATAATGATAGCAATACTCACTTAATGTAATGCCTATTCAAAAGACGCGCTCGATTAGGGTTAAAAAGTATTATCGCTATTACCTATTGATTAAGACAATTAATTAAAACTTTATAATCATGATAAATTATATTACCAAGTTGCAAACAATCTGATCAGTTTTGCACAACGGATACATCATGAATAGGAACCTGGTGAATTTATCATAATAATTAACACCGGTAAACTTAAACACATCCAGATGAAATACAATCGACCTCGTATTAGCCTAATTAAACATTAATTTAATTAAATTAAAAACAACAAATTATTGTATTTACAATAAATCATTATTAACAAATAGCAACAAGATCACTTACACAATCGCCAAACACAAAACTCTCGGTCTCCTCATTAAAGCTCATTAAAAGTTGCATTAAATTCACTTCAATGAAGCCATACTTGACGAGTGCCAACTGATCCTCAGAACACACGTCGGCGAAGCCTTTGATAAGTTTGGCGAAACGGATCAAATCGGTGATCACCCGTTCGGTCCGGTCTTCGCATAATTGGTTCAACACTTTGAAACACTTGGTGTGAATCCGATTAGCGCTTAACCCGTAGTCCAACACTCGGGACGCCGTCAACAACTCCCGCAACCTCTTGGCCTCCAATGGATTCCAGTGCTGGTAATCGTTGATCACGTGATACACAAGCGATGTCTTCAGCGATTGTCTTATCAACTCGTCCATCGAGAGTGTGATTGTATCGCGTAATTCTACCACCGATTGGGTGGACTCAGGCCTACCGGCGCTGACAGGGCTTATAATCACTGCGGTTTCGGTAAACATTGAGGTCGAAGACACGACCTCCGAAGTGGTGGACACAACACATGTGTCGGAATCGTTGAGTTGTTTTTGTTTTTGCTTTTTCCTAATATATTTACTTCGGTTCACTTCGTTATTCAGTATGAATTCCTGTCATAACAAGGGTTGTGTTAATGCAGTTATTCTGTAATATTAATTCACTATTCAATTAATGTCATACTTTTCTCATTCCCACAGCAAAGCACTTGTTTAGCCGACATTTCCGACATATAGAGCGCGTCTGTCTATTGATTATACATTTGCCATCCGATGGACACACCAATAGCTAGTGTGTTAATAAATTAACAAGGTTAAATAACAATAATAGTATAGCAAGGTAATTTTAATCTAATTATACCTCATATCGGTGTACGAATCGTTTGAAAAATATTTTGCATGGCTCGCATGACATTACGGTAAAATTTCGGCCTAGAAATACCGAGATAATACATAACATTAAGTATTTGTATAGTTTAAAATACAGATATTTACACCAGGACAATACAAAAAGTTTTATTTTAAACTATGTAAAATAAATAAGTAAAATGAGTTCATACAAACGGCTCTATCGCCACAAACTTCACAATATTTATCCGGTTTATTGTCGTCCATCGTATCGATAGTTCACAACTAAAATAAGCTACAAATTGTGTATATTTTTACACGACTAAATATAAATAGTATAAATTGACATTAATCAAATTAAGGTTTGTATTCTTGTGAGAATAAACAACAAGTGGTTATTAAGCGTGTGTTAACATTATATTTCACTATTGATATAAGGTACCAGAAAAATGTTGAGTGAGTTTACAAACCACATGAACTAAACCTTGATTATAATGGCATTGAAATCACACTTAAATAAAACATGTTGATAAAAAGCACAATATTTATTACATTAGAAACCAACCATAATGCAGAAATACAACTCACAACTGAGCATGATAATTATTCTATTAGATCACATGATTAGAGCATTAATCTTTCCTTAACCTTTTGAAAATTTATTAAACATCATTTAATATTAAACACAAATTACAAATAAATTATAAAAAGATTTATAATAATAATAATAATAAAAAGAAAAATGATTTTTAAAAAGTATTTACAGTAGATATTTATATAAAATTTATTAATAAAAATATATTTACAGTAGTTATATATTAATTATTCAGATTGATCAATGTCAAAAACCTCCCTGCCTAATTGACCAATATATGGGATCAATTCTTTGAATTCTTCGTCCTTCGCGTACTTCCTTTGCATTTCACTCAAAGCATTCAAATCTGTGGACATTTTCAACACATTTAATAGATATGAATGAGACTCACATTCATTCCGGTATTTCAATAGTAGATATCTTTGCAGTAAATATATATACAGTTGTTGTTCGAGTCTAACAAACATCGGGGTAAATGTGATTTTATTAGAATTCATTATTCTTAGTTATCTCAATATTGACACTCACTTAACAGTGTGCTTATGTTTAAGTTGTGGATGATTTGGGTTATAAAGTACTATTGCAGTCAACTAGATATAAATAATAAGAATTAGTAACAATTATTGTCAATTACAAGAGTTACTAGAATATTATGCATAAAAAAATAAACTAACCAGGTCTGCTATAATTGGATCATGTTTGCAATGTGGCACAAACTTATCAATAAACAATCTTAATCTTGAATAATAAGGAACTTTGAGCACGTTTTTGTACACGTCCACTTTAACGACAATTGTATTATGGTCATTCTACATACGGATAGAATTTTATCATTAATATCACAAAATACAACAATACACCATGGTAGAAGAGTATAGTAAATTATTTGACAGGCTTACCATTTTCATACAATGACTGTCCACCTCGTTGTTATAATACATGGCTTCGCGCAATAGAATCACTTCTAGACAGCTATTCTTCACGAGCGACAACTGATCCTCGGAACAGATGTTAGCGAATCCGTTCAAAATCTTGGTAAAGTTTGCCACCTCGATGATGGAGTTCTCTAATTTATCATGGTAATTGTAAATGAACTCTTTGAAATTATTTACTGCCACCAAATTTTCGGGCAATTTGTGGTCAAATATTTTGGTTGCGCTCAACAGCTCTGCTATTCTGTTGGTCTCCAAACAGTTCCAGTCGTTGCGGTTATCGAGTGGTCTAATGATGGGTATAATTGCCGTTTCCTCTGGTTTTAGGTCTATATTTACTTTAACTATCCTTTCGTTTGCATTGATTTCATTGACTGATAAATTGATATCAATTTCCAGTATCTGTTGTGTTAGTTCTTCGTCACTAATATTCACTGTTTTATCAATTAATTCATTTAAAAAGTTCTGATCTTTGGGTGAATAGGGTTGGTCTGAATGTGTGGACACATCTGAAGCCGTAGACATCGGCGATAAGTCCACACTTTTAGCATCGTTTAGATTGTCTTTTAAGCGATTTTCTGCAATCATTTTTCTCCTCATTTTATTTTCTTCATTACTTCTCACGAATTCCTTTGATATAAATTCAAATTCAGTTTAATTTAGTTTATTATATAAAATCACAATTAAAATATTTACCCGTCTCATACCAATTGCCAAACATTTATTAAATCGGCATAATTTACAAAGTGTCCTGGTCATTTTATTCACATTACAATTTCCATTTTGCGAGCATTTATATATCTTTTAAACATAAACATAATTATTTTGTTATTTTAATATAAGGTAATTTTTAAAATACCTGTGTTAATTAATTTTTAACACATAATGATTAATAATTCTTACCCTATTGTCACGAATAGCTCTTCGAAAGAAGGCTTTACACGATTCACAAGCGTTGACCGAAAAGTTTTTACCTTTAATTATTATAATTATAATAATTGTTTTAATTAACAGTTATTATTAACAATATTTTCTTTGTGTTAACTTACAAAGTGTTTTATCGCCACAAACATCGCATATATCTTCCCCTCTGTACCGACTCATTATACTTAATACCAAATTAATTACTTGTAAATAATTATTTATTAATTAAAAAACATTACAATATTGTTATAATCCGCTTGAAACCATGTTTGTAAATTTATTTATAATATTTTAGTTACCACTTGCCTATTATGATGTAAGCGGCATTACATATACAGATAAAATAATTGCATAACAATAATAAAGTTTGAATTTTATCAGACATTTTATTAATTGCCACTAAAGTGAAGGACACATGGATTATCTTGTTTGTCAGTTTCGATTATGGTTAGAATAAGTACATGTAAGTTATATTATAAGCAAAATATACATGTATTCACAATTATTATTTTCATTATTCTTGTGATAGATTCATTCAATTCTTGTCAAATAATGTTTTTGCACTTAAACACAGTTATTGTTACAAATAATTTATTGATTTTATATGGATGAATGGATTTCATGCTGTTTACCAGCTTTTATCAATGATTTATATGATATAGCGAGTTTTTCATTAGTGATTGATCTAGTGCAATCTGATTAAAATGTTGCCAGAAAATAATGTGAATGTTTTACACAACAATTACTATGGTGTATTTATTCATGTTATGTACTATATAATAAATTGTTTGTAAAATATTATAATAACTATTTTCAATTATTAAACGGTTAAATAAATTATAAAATAATAACATTGTAACAATAAAAATATTTAGCAACACACTATTTTATTTAAAATTTATATAAATTATATAAATAATTATGTAGATGAATCAATTTCATAAAGTTCCCTGGCTAATGGGCCACAATAGGGAATCAATTCCTTAAATTCTTCGTGCTTTGCGTACGTCCTCTGCATTTCACTCAAAGCATTCAAATCTGTGGACATTTTTAACACATTTAGTAGATATGAATGAGACTCACATTCGGACCCGTATTTCAATAGTAGATATCTTTGCAGTAAATATATATACAGTTGTTGTTCAAGTCTGACAAACATCGGGGTAAATGTGATATTAATTAGAAATTGTTATTTATAATCATCACATTATTACTACTCACTTAACGCTATACTTATGTTTAAGTTGTGGTCGATTCGGGTTAAATAATATGATTGCTGTTAACTAAATAAAAATACGATTTCTCAATAACATTCATCAATTGAAAATTTAACTCAAACTATATTTACCAGGTCAGTTATAATGGGATCATGTCTGCAATGTGGAATGAATTTGTCCATGAACATTCTAAATCTGGTATAATATGGAAGCTTAATCCATTTAAATATATCCAGTTTAACCACAATTGTATTGTCATTATTCTATAAATTATAAATAAATTATTATACTATAAAAATCACTATAATATATTATATTTATAAATGACCATGCTTACCATTTTCATACACAGACTGTCCACCTCGTTGTTATAATACATGGCTTCGCGTAATACAATTATTTCAATACAGCCGTACTTAAGGAGAGACAACTGATCCTCTGGACAGACGTTAGCGAATCCGTTCAGATTCTTCGTGAACCGTACCGTATCACATACTAACTCTTCAATTTGACCATGGTACTTATGCATCATATCCTTAAAATTATTCACTAACACCATATTTTCTGGCAATTTATAATCAAATATTTTGGTTGCGCTCAAAAGCTCTGCTATTCTGTTGGTCTCCAAACAGTTCCAGTCGTTGCGGTTATTGAGTGGTCGCACGACTGGTACAATCGGGAGTGATTGTAATTCTGGTGTTAATTGGGTTTCATTTGTCACTTCGCTGTTGTTTTCATTAACCGATAAATTACTGTTGATTTCCCATATCTTTTGTGTAATTTCTTCGTCGCTAATGATTATTGTTTCGGTCATTATTTCGTGGCTTTCAATGGATTGCTGTGAATGTGTGGACACGTCTGAAGCCGTAGACACAGGCGATGAGACCACACTATTATATGCATTGGATTTGTGTTTATCACGAGTTTCTGCAATGAATTGTTTGCGGATTTTGTTTTCTTCATTACTTCTCACGAATTCCTTTCGTTTTAATTAAAAATATTGTTAAAAATTTAATTTTATTTAAACTAAAAAACTAATTACTCGTCTCATTCCGGCCGCCAAACACTTATTGAATCGACACATTTTACAAATTGTCCTGGTCGATTTATTTATTGTACAAATCCCACCTTTATGACATGTATATGTCTAGTAAAAATAATCATGTTTAAATAAACAGTTACATAATTAATACATGTTTGAAATACAATTCATACCTTACTTTCACGAATGGCTCTCCGAAAGAATGCCTTACATGATTCACAGGCAATTGCGGTAAAATTTTTACCTTCATTTATAATAAACAATTAAATATTGTTGTTTATATATACAGTATTATTTATATTATAAGTTATGATGTTACACGAGTTAACTTACAAAGTGTTTTATCGCCGCAAACATCACAATTTTTGATCCCTTTGTTACTCATTATAATTGACGGCAAACTTAATTAGTAAATACAAACATTTCAAAACAATAAGGTAAAAATTATGTTTGAAACCATGTTGGTAAATTACATCAATCTGCAGACTACTATCTATTATCGTGTATTGCAATTAGGATATAATGTAACAGTAATTACACAATGACATCAATTTCTAGAAAATAAAGTAAAGTGTTTAGAAAATTCACTTTTATTTGGAGACATTTTATTGATTGCTATCACAAGTGAAGGGCATATAAATTATGTTTTACAATATCATTGTAGGAGTAATTGTGTAAAAATTTTAAAGTATGTTTAGTTTATGTACATTAATTTGTTAATAGTTTAGGGTAGTTGTCAAATGTATTGACATAATACAGTAGGTGCATGTAGAATCATATACCTGTATGTACTGTACTTAAATATACTGCCATACAGTTAAAATGTATTAAAAATTTAGTATAAAATGTAATTTACTATTGATTTTACTATGTTTATTGTATTACCTAGACTTAATTAAACATAAATTGTAAAATTAATTAAAAGCAAATGAGAATATTAGAATAGTTTATTATAACCAGTTTATCACCATGTTTAAAAATTAAAATAATACAATTCTGTCAACTATGGTACATCGAATTCAGATAATGATCTTAAAAGTTGTTAATCACTAATAATAATTGTAATATACAAAGAATTACAAACACTGAGTATTGTAATTTATTAATAAATATACTAGGTTACGAATAACTTTTTATATAAAACAAATACAAAATATTTTATCCCCACAATCATTTTAAACAATGTTGTTTTAGGAAAAGAAAAAAATTATGTTTATTAAATTAATGAGCCACTAAATTATAATACTGTATATACTCTATACCATGTAATTATACAGATGTATCAAGCTCATAAATTTCCCTTGCTAATGGACCAATATATGGGGTCAAATCAGTAAAGTCCTCGCCGTTTACGTATGTCTTCTGTATTTCACTCAAAACATTTAAATCTGTCGCTATTTTCAACACATTTAATAGATATGAATGAGACTCACATTCGGACCCGTATTTCAATAGTAGATATCTTTGCAGTAAATATATATACAGTTGTTGTTCGAGTCTATCAAACATTAAAAATTTCAATTATAATTTTTAAATCATTATTAATATTCATCACATTTTTGACACTCACTTTACTGTATGTTTGTGTTTAAGATGTGGACGATTCGGGTTAAAGAGTATGATTGTTGTTAACTAGATATAAACATAACATAATTTCGAAATAACATGCAAGAATTAACTGTTATTAATTAAAATTACTAAATTTACCAGATCAGTTATAATTGAATCATCTCTGCAATTGCGAACAAATTTGTCCATGAACATTCTAAATATGGTATAAAACGGGGGCTTGATCCATTTGAACACATCTAATTTTACCACAATTGTATTATTGTTATCCTATAAATCAATAAACAAACATTGAAACATGTACATTATCTAAAAATGATCAAGCTCACCATTTTTAAACTTAAACTATCCGTATCATTGTTGTAATACATGGCTTCTCGCAATATCATCACTTCAACGCATCCATTCTTCACGAGCGACAACTGATCCTCTGGACAAATGTTAGCGAATCCGTTTAGATTCTTCGTGAACCGTACGATATCGCCGATGGACTCGTCAATATGACCATGGTACATTCGGGCCAGATCCCTAAAATGATTCACTGCCACAATATTATCGGGCATTTGAAAGTCAAATATTTTGGTTGCGCTCAACAGCTCTGCTATTCTGTTGGTCTCCAAACAGTTCCAGTCGTTTGGGTTATTGAGTGGTCGCACGACTGGTATAACCGACAGTTCCCGCGATTCTGGCACTGAATTCACTTTATTTGTCTTTTTGTTGTTATTATTTTTATTTGCCGATAAATTCATAGAAATATCCAATATTTTTTGCATCACTTCTTTGTCGCTAATGTTTATTGTTTTGGCAATTATTTCATTTATAAAATCTTCGCTTTCAATGGATTGCTGTGAATGTGTGGACACATGTGTAGCCGTAGGCACCGGCGATGAGACCACACTATTATCTCTATTGGGTTTGTGTTTCTCGCGATTTTCTGCAATCATTTGTTTACGGATTTTGTTCTCTTCAATACTCGTCACGAATTCCTGTCATTTAAAGTCAAATTCAATTAAAAATAAAATTATTATAAATATTAAAACTCATTACTCGACTCATTCCGATCGCTAAACACCTATTCAATCGACACATTTTGCACATTATCCTGGTTAATTTGTTGATTGTACACTTCCCATTGTTAATGCATGTATATGTCTATTTATTATAAGCATGGTTAAATTAAAAAATTATAAAGATATATAAATAATACCTTATTTTTACGTATGGTTCTCCGAAAGAACGCCTTGCACGATTCACAGGCATTTGCGGCAAAATTTTTACCTTAATTTTTAATTAAAAGAATATAATTAGTATTATTTGACTTATAAAATGTTACACAAGTTAACTTACAAAGTGTTTTATCGCCGCAAACATCACAAATTTTGTTCATTTTGTTGGCACTCATTATAATAAACGCAAACCTATTTATAAATAGTTAAATTTGATTAAATAGAAACAAAAATTAAAATGGTACATAAATATTGTATAATATACTTATACACTGTATGTATGCACCTATGTTTGATGTAACTTTATATAACTATTTATCTATTATATAAGCCAACAGGGAAAAAACAGTACGTGTAGTGCGTTCTCTCTCTCACACTCGCTTTGCCTCTGATCGCTGCCTACAGGCAGAGCCTTAAGCAATACGCGAGAACGCTATGGAAAAGGCCTAATGTTTGCAAAGTTGGTATGCAATTATATACCCCTTTTAATGGGCAATAAGCTAGTATATTATAAATGTAAATTTATAATAAAGTTGTGTTATATGGTGAGTTTGAAATTATGTTTGTATATTACAATAATATTGTGCTCTCTGTTATCGTGTATAGCATTTAGATTATATAATAGATTTGCAATATTTGTTAAACAATTACATCAAACAGTATTTTTATGAAATAAAATTTTCAAACTTCACTTTATTTGCAGACTTTTATTGATAATCATTACAATGAAAGGCATATGAATGATTGCTTTTTACAATTTTATTGGGAAAGTAATTGTATAAAAATATAAACTTATGATAAGTTTATTTACATTTATTTGTGTTAAGTTTATGCATAGTTGTCAAATATATTGACATGATAGATTGAATGGCACTTAAAAAAGTACAATACTATAGAGTGATGGTAATTTACTTTGGATATTATTATGTTTACCATATTACTTTAGAAATAAAATTTTAACATTTTTAAATTAAACAAACATTTAAAATAAAAGGAATTAATATTGAATTAATAAATGCAATATCATATTATTGATATACCCAGACTATAATATTATTCTAATACTGTTTTAAATGTTAACATTATGTTTAAAAATAAAAATAATTGTATTAAAGGCATGTTAAACAATGAGCATCATGTACAAATTGTAATGAATATAAAATATACTATGATATTATAAAAATGTTATTATTTTTAATATTATTTATTTTTATTTGTACTGATAATATCATCCAATAGTTTTTAAACAAAGTACTTAAACATAATAATATAATACATAATATATTACAATAAAATAAATTTTTCCGACATTTTATTGATAATCATTACGAGTGAAGGACACATGTATTCGCATACTTTCATTGGGAGAGCAATTGCATTAAAAATACAAACATATAATTAGTTTATTCAGATTTATTCAAAAGGAAATTTTTGAGTAAAAATGGCCTAGCCCATTCTAATTGGCCAGAAAACAATAAATAAAACATTTGAAACAATTTTTTATTTCAAATATTATTCGGCATCGAATGTTTAGTCCACTGTTCAAACTGCACCTTGATCAATATTGTAAACCTCCCTGGTCAATGGTCCACAATATGGGATCAATTCTTTGAATTCTTCGTGCTTTGCGTACGTCCTAATCATTTCAGTCAAAGCATTCAAATCTGTGGACATTTTCAACACATTTAATAGATATGAATGCGACTCACATTCGGACCCGTATTTCAATAGTAGATATCTTTGCAGTAAATATATATACAGTTGTTGTTCGAGTCTAACAAACATCGGGGTAAATGTGATTATATTGATAATTGCATTTTGAACACTTACTTAACAATATGCTTGTGTTTAAGTTGTGGACATTTAGGGTCAAAGAGAATAATTGCTGTTAACTAAATACAAAATAAATTACAGTGATTAACATTTAATATTATATTAAATTCAATCTAAATTTACCAGGTCTGTTACATGAGGATCATGTTTGCAATGTAGAATAAATTTGTCTATAAACATTCTATATGTGGAATAATATGGGACTTTTATCAATTTAAACACATCCAATTTCACTGCCAGCTTGTTATCATTATTCTATGAATTAAAAAAACATAATTAAAAAATATGTCCAATGATCCAATAAATGAGCAAGCTCACAATTTTGAGATATAAACTATCAACATCATTGTCAAAATAGATGGCTTCGCGTAATAAACATATTTCAACGCATTTATTCTTCACGAGCGACAACTGATCCGCGGAACAGATGTTAGCGAATCCGTTCAGATTCTTTGTGAACCGAACCAAATCTTTAATGTCACGATCCATCTGATCATGGTACTTTATTATCATGTCACTAAAATCATTGGCTGTTATAGTATTTTTAGGTAATTCGTAGTCAAATATTTTGGTTGCGCTCAACAGCTCTGCTATTCTGTTGGTCTCCAAACAGTTCCAGTCGTTGCGGTTATCGAGTGGTCTAATGATGGGTATAATCGGCAGTGACTGTACTTTTGGTGTTAATTGTACTTTATTTGTCTCTTCGCTGCAATTGTTTTCATTGACCGATAAATTGATCTCAATTTCCAGTATCTGTTGCGACAGCTCTTCGTCGCTAATGTTTACTGTTTTGTCAATTAATTCATTCAAAAAGTCTTTGCCTTCAATGGATTGCTGTGAATGTGTGGACACGTCTGAAGCCGAAGACACCGGCGATGAGATCACACTATTATGTGCATTGGATTTACGTTTCTCGCGATTTTCTGCAATCAATTGCTTATGGATTTTGTTTTCTTCATTACTTCTCACAAATTCCTTTCGGTTTAGAACAAAATGAGTTTAATTTTAATTACAATATAATATTAGATTAATTATAGATAATATAAGATTAATTACTCGTCTCATTCCGACAGCAATACACTTATTCAATCGACATGTTTTGCAAAGTTTCCTGGTGGATTTGTCTATAACACACTGGCCATTTGATGGACATATAAATGTCTATAAAATATGATCATGCCTAAATAAATAACAGTTATAATTATTTGAAATACAATTCATACCTTATTATCACGAATAGCTCTCCGGAAGAATGCTTTGCACGATTCACAGGCATTTGCGGCAAAATTTCTACCTTCATTTATAATTCAAATTAATATTTATAATTTATTTTGTATTATTTGAGTTATTAAACAAAATGTTACACGAGTTAACTTACAAAGTGTTTTATCGCCACAAATATCGCAAATCCCATTCCCTTTATACCGACTCATTATAATTATCGTAAATCCAATTAATTTTAAATAATTCAATTAATATAACAATTTATTAAATCAAAACATTAAAGCAATATTAAAACTAGTTTACAACCATGTTTGTAAATTCTGATATTATATGTACTGTAATAATCTTTTAGATAATGCTATCAAATATACAATATAATATTAGAGTATTTCTAACTTTTAAAAATAAAATGCACTTTCTGTTTGCATTACAGTGAAGGGCATATGAATTACCAATAATTTACCATCTTTTATCATTTCATTTGTGGATTAATTGTTTAGACAAATACAAACTTATAATTAGTTTATTTACATTAAATTGTAAGTTGTTTTCCAAGTTATAAAATGTAATTACATTTATGTTTCGTACATTTACTCTTACAATAAATATTTATAAAAGGTAAACCATTAACTTGGTAAAACATTAATGATGTTTACAGATTCTGGCTTATATTAATTATCAGGATAAATATCAATAAGATAATTTATATCATATTAAATACATATGTGTGAATCTGATTAGTAAGTGGTTCACAGCTATGACAGAAATACAATATTTTTAAAAATGTGGACAATAGACATTGAGGTGTTTAACAACAATAATGAGAATCAATAACAATAATGACAAGAGCAAGGGAACATGTTCGTAATATGTAATTTATTGTAAATACTGAGTGAACCAAAGTTTCACTTTACATGATTTTTATTTTAAAAAGTAAAACATTTTATTGGTGTGATATTCACGCAAATTATGTAACTGGATCAATTTCGTAAAGTTCCCTTGCTAATGGACCACAATATGGAATCAATTTATTAAACTCTTCACTCTTTGTATATGTTTTTCGCATTTCATTCAAAGCATTCAAATCTGTGGACATATTTAATAAGTTTAATAGATATGAATGAGACTCACATTCGGACCCGTATTTCAATAGTAGATATCTTTGCAGTAAATATATATACAGTTGTTGTTCGAGTCTAACAAACAGTTTAAAAATTTAAATTATTAAGTCATTATTAAAATTCATTACATTTTTGACACTCACTTTACTGTATGCTTGTGTTTAAGATGCGGACGATTCGGGTTAAAGAGTATTATTGCTGTTAACTATAAATAATAAAATAATTGTTAATGAATATAGAAAATTTATCAGTAAAAATAAAAATAAGCCTACCAGGTCATTTACAAAAGTATCATGTTTGCAATAAGGAATAAATTTATTTATGAACATTCTTAATCTGGGATAATATGGGACATTTATCAATTTAAACACATCCATTTTCACAACAAGTTGTTTCCCATTATTCTATAAATAATATACACAATTAAAAACAAATATCAAAACTAGTAATAATAAATGAGCAAGCTCACCATTTTTACGCATAGACAGTCCACTTCGTTATTGTAATGCATGGCTTCCCTTAACAAAAAGATTTCATGGCAGCCATTCTTCACGAGCGACAACTGGTCGTCGGTGCAGATGTTAGCGAATCCGTGCAGACTCTTCGTGAACCGTACGATATCATTGATAAACAGCTCTAATTGACCATGGTACTTATGGAACATATCCTTAAAATCATTGACTGTTACAATATTTTCAGCAAAATTGTGGTCAAATATTTTGGTTGCGCTCAACAGCTCTGCTATTCTGTTGGTCTCCAAACAGTTCCAGTCGTTTGGGTTATGAAGTGGTCTAATGATAGGTATGACCACCGGTTTCATCGGTTCTGGAGCTGAATTCACTTCAATTATCTCTTTGTTGGTCTCATTTACCGATAAATTGATTTCAATTTCCAGTATCTGTTGTGTCAGCTCTTCGTCGCTAATGTTCACTGTTTTGTCAATTATTTCATTCAAAAAGTTTTCGCATTCATTGAAATGGTGTGAATGTGTGGACACGTGTGAAGTGGACGACACCAGCGATGAGACTAAACTGTTATCTCCATTGAGATTGTTTTGTAAGCAATTCTCTGCAATCAATTGTCGTCTCATTTTATTTTCTTCAGTACTTGTCATGAATTCCTTAAATTTCAATTCAAATTCAGTTAAAATTTTAGACTACAAAAAAACTAATTACTCGTCTCATTCCAATTGCAATACACTTATTGAATCGACACATTTTGCAAACTGTCCTGGTCGATTTGGTAACTTCACATTTTACACTGGATCTGCATTTATATGTCTATTAATTATAACCATGATTAAAGCAATAATTACCATAACTTAATTGAATTTTAATAATATTAATACCTTATTGTCACGAATGGCTCTCCGGAAGAATATCTTACATGATTCACAGATATTTATCATAAAATAATTGCCTTTAATTTATAATTAAAAACAAATAAAATAATATACTGTACATAAAAATTGTATACTTTATATATTATGTATTATTTCTATAGTAAAACATTACACGAGTTAACTTACAACGAGTTTTATCGCCGCAAACATCACAAATTCTGTTCCCTTTGTTGGCACTCATTATAATTAATGCCAAATTAAATTAATTGTGAATAGTGTAAAAAATCAATTGTAACAGATATAATAATATTGTTTTAATAACTAGATTAAAATCATGTGTGAAAATTACAATTCAATCTGTTATTGCAAATGGCATTTATTTCATACTTTACATAATTTGTCAAAAATAATTTAAATCAACACTTAATTAGAAAATAATTTTTTAAAATACACTTTTTAGACATTTTATTGAATGCACTTACAGTGAAGGGCATAACGCTTATCATGTTTTACAAAGATTAGTTTATTTACGACATAAGGGCTATACCAGTGATAATGTATATTTATAAATTATGTATATTCATTAAGGTCAAAAATCTCCCTGGTCAATTGACCACAATATGGGATAACTTCCCTAAACACTTCGTCTCGACAATAGGTTCTCTGCATTCCACCCAAAGCGATCACATCTGTCGACATTTGTAACACATTTAATAGATATGAATGAGACTCACATTCGGACCCGTATTTCAATAGTAGATATCTTTGTAGTAAATATATATACAGTTGTTGTTCGAGTCTAACAATACAGAGCATAAGTTATTTTTAATTATTATTTGATTAATATTAATAAAATTTAACATTATTGCCACTTACTTAACAATATCCCTGTGTTTAAGATGTGGACGATTTGGGTTAAAAAGTATAATCGCAGTTAACTAGTTCAAACGTAATTGTAAGAAATTAATTATTTAATTATTATCATTTTTAAGTTATAATTTGTAAGTCGAATAAATGTACCAGATCAACTATAATCGGATCTTGTTTGCAAAGGGGAACAAATTTGTCCATGAACAATTTAAACCTGGGATAATAAGCAACCTTGTCTAATTTAAATATATCAGACGTGTAGACAATTGTATTTTGTGTATCCTATACGAATAAAATATTTAATTAGAATCTTAAGCACATTATGTTTAAAATATAAATTATATTATCACTTTAAATAACAGCTACTAGGTAACCAGGTATATTATCTAGATACTACTGTATATTATTTACATATGAGTTGACTAACCATTTTCAACAAATACGTGTCCACCTCGTTGTTATAATACACGGCTTCGCGTAATAAAACCACATCAATGCCACCGCTCTTGAGTAGAGACAACTGATCGTCGGAACAGATGGTCGCGAATCCGTTCAGATTCTTCGAGAACCGCACGATATCTGAGAGAAAGTCTTCAAATCGATTGTTATAATTGCGAACCATTTCGTGGAAGTGATTCACAGACACTGTATTTGAGGGCAAATTGTAGTCAAATATTTTGGTTGCGCTCAACAGCTCTGCTATTCTGTTGGTCTCCAAACAGTTCCAGTCGTTGTGGTTATCGAGTGGTCTAATGACAGGCGTTATAATCAGTTCCTGTGATTCTTGTACTGAATTGATCTCAATTTCCGTTATCTGTTGTGTCATCTCTTCAGCGCTAATACCTATTGTTTTGTCAATTATTTCACTCAAAAAGTCTTGGCTTTCAATGGAATTGTGTGAATGTGTGGACACATCCGCAGCCAAAAATACCGGCGATGAGACCACACTATTATCTCCGCTGATATAATGTCTTAAGCGATTCAATTCAATGTTTTGACGCCTGATTTGATTTTCATTATTACTTCTCACAAATTCCTTATAAATAAACATTTAATTTAATATTAAGTTTTCATTAATTAATATATTAATATTGATATCAATAATTATAAAATCTATTACTGGTCTCATTCCGACAGCGAAACACTTGTTTAATCGGCAGAGTCGACAACTGGTCCTGGTCACTTTGTTCACCACACATTTATTAACAGATGGACATGTGTATTTCTGCAATATAACCATCATTAATCATAGCAAGTATCTCAAGTATTAGTTTTAATAATTTTGATTTACAATACAATAATTGTTAATTAATTATATATTAATTATTAATACCTTATTTAGACGAATGGCTCTCCGAAAGAAGGCTTTACAGCTTTCGCAGACATTGGCCGCGAAATTCTTGCCTTAAATTATAAGTACATTAATTATAATTAATAAATGTTTATAAAATTATGTTATTTTTGTAATGGTTAAATAAGTTAACTTACAAAGTGCTTTGTCGCCGCAAACATCACAATTCATATTACTTTTATTGACACTCATAATGAAGGTTAAAATAAGTTATATTAATAATCGATTTTTAACTAGCAATTTATTAATTAAAAAATTAAAACTGGTTATAATCCTTATAATATTTTGTAATTTATGAAATTTATCACAGCATAACAATCGTATAATTATTTGATAATTAATTAATTATATAATTTTTAAACCAAGTTTAACAAATCAAATTTTCTTTACAAAACATTGAGGTTTTTTCTGAATTATTGTTTAGTTCCGACATTTAATTGTAATTATAACCAAAGGTATAATAATTAATATGTTATTACGCTTTTATTAACAAGTTCTAATCTTTATAATATTTATAGATTAGACAATAGCCTTCATTATCATTATATGTGTAATTCAATTATTGTTAGACAATTATAACAAATTCACTAAATAATAATAATTATCAATTCACTGTTTTGTTCAGTCATTTTATTGATTGCCATTTTAGCAATTTATACAAAGATTTATCATGTTTTTAGTTTCATTACCATGCACATGTAATTATAACTAAATGTATGTTTAAAATAAATTGTTTACAATACTGTAATGTTATCAAATTTAATGATATAAATTTTTATATGTCTCATCAATTTAGTTTATTGATTGAAATGTTTATTATAAATGGATGTAGAATTAATTGGGAAATTAACTTTAAACAGCTAAATAAAAGATCTTTTAAATTACATTTAATTAAACTAGGAAAAATATTAAAAAGTTTAATTATTACATTTAAATGTCAATCATTTTTATTTAAATGTCAAATTAAATATTCTTACATTTATTCTTTCATTAATTATTCATATATGACATTTAAACTTTGTATTTGTATTTAAATAGACAATCAATCAATGTAAAAATATTTGAATGCAAATATTAAATATTTTTGCATACATTGTATAAGATAAATCCGTTGTATAAACACCAAATGTGTAATGTTTAATATTGCTTTGTATTTGTAAAATTAATTAAATGCTAATCGTTAAAAATAATATACGGTATAAGATTTTACATCTAGCAAAATCAAATCAAAATTGATTAAAATTAACACATATTGAAAACATTAATCACAATGAATACAAATAGTGGATCCGAACGAATAATAATGTATTGCAAACTCTCAGGACATGTATATTTCGGTCGCAGTGTTAACGTTGGGACACATATTGTGACAAAAATGATACAAATCGTGTTAAACATAGCATTTGCGGCCGTAATATTGTACCAGGGTTTTAATGACATTCAAGACGCGATCGCAAACTTCATTATCAATAACTCAAAGGCAAAACTCGTAAACATTTTGCTAATTATGGCAAACATTGGATTCTCTATACAAACACTGATTGCCTGTATATTCATATGGATTAATGAGAAAACTATTCTCAATTTATTTATGGCACCAGAATATCAATGTATTTCCACTAAAACTAAACAAACAATTAGTTTATACATATGTTTCGCCACATTATTTACTTCACTGCTCACTGAACTAATTTTTATAACATTAAATTTATATTTTCACTTATCTAAAATGACATTTGACTATTATACGTTTGTTATAGAGCCAATAATTTGGATATTAGAGTTCAACACACAATTAATTCCTGTTTTATTAATCGCTTATAAATGTTGTTTAGTTTTACAAAAACTTAAATTCATTACAATTGGGATTAAAAGCAATCGTATTAGTAGTATATATAATCGGGTTATTACATTAAATATATTAATTAAACAGTTTGATAGAATATTCTCACCTTATATCATGATGGTGTTTATAATATATGGTATAAGATTTGTAGCATATTTTACAACACTATTTATTATACCAAAAGAGATGATGTATTATAATATTAGTTTACTAATTGAATGTTTAGTTATGTTTATTAGTATTACAATAGTCTGCAATATAATTCCCAATTCATATAATAATTTCTTACATGAATTGCAGGTACTTTACGCTAAATATAATAATCAAATGATAGAAAATACAAATTATTTATTATTGTTAAAAGAATTAAAAAGTGAATTCTATTTAACGGTTTATGGTTTGTATAAAATTGATTTCAAAACATTGATCTCATGTTTGTCTTTAATTCTCACGTATTCTGTAATTTTAATTCAAACTAATTTATAATTTTTAAACCTAATAAACATTACATTAAATATCTGGTATATTATATTGTTAAATGTGACATTTTAAATTGCCAAGTTAAATATAAAGCTTTACATAATTTGTATAGATGGCAAATAGAACGAGACACTTTACATCGAAATATACTTATTATTTTTTATTAATGTAAATGTAATTGTGAATTACAATATGTACAATAATTAGTTATAATAAAGTTGCTAAGTATGTGAATTAAGTTCATAAATCTCCCTGGTCAATGCACCACAATATGGTACCAGTTCTCTAAATATATCACCCTGGCAATATCTCTTTTGCATATCCGATAAAGCATTCAAATCTGTGGACATATTTAACACGTTCAATAAATATGAATGAGACTCACATTCCGACCCGTATTTCAATAGTAGATATCTTTGCAGTAAATATATATACAGTTGTTGTTCGAGTCTAACAAAACATGGTATAAATTATTGTCAATTAACTTCAAATGAATTTTTTAAATAATATTGAAATTTACTTCACGTTATCCTTATGTTTAAGATGTGGTCGATTGGGGTTAAAGAGTACGATCGCTGTTAACTAAATGTTCAATGAAAAGAACATACATGTAATTTACATTATTTAAATGTTAATAATTTAAATCTGTAATATGCTTTTAAGTTAATCGTACCAGATCAGCAATAATCGGATCATGTTTGCAATGTGGCACAAATTTGTCAATAAATAATCTAAACCTGGGATAATAAGCAACTTTCTCTAAATTAAAGGCTTCAGGTTTGAATTGTATTGAATTTTGATCATCCTATCAATGAATACAATAATAAGGTAAAAGTCAATATAATTAATGCATTTTGGTAATTGCAACATTAATTTACTAACCATTCTCATTAAAAACATGTCCACCTCGTGGTTATAATAGACGGCTTCGCGCAATATAACGACATCAATGCATCCACTCTTGAGAAGTGAGATCTGATCGTCGGAACAGATGGTCGCGAATCCGTTCAGATTCTTCGAGAACCGCACGATATCCGCGAGAAGTGTATCGAATCTGACACTATATATGGGAACCATTTCGTGGAAGTGATTCACAGACACTGTATTTGAGGGCAATTCGTAGTCAAATATTTTGGTTGCGCTCAACAGCTCTGCTATTCTGTTGGTCTCCAAACAGTTCCAGTCGTTGTGGTTATCGAGTGATCGCATGACAGGCGTTATCATCAGTTCCTGGGGTACTTGTTTTACATCAATTGTATTTACATTGTTTTCATTTAACGATAAATTTATGTCAATTTCCGATATCTGTTGTGTTAGCTCTTCGTCGCTAATGTTTAGCGTTTTAGCAATTAATTGATTCAAAAATTCTTGTCGTTCAATGGATTGCTGTGAATGTGTGGACACGTCTGAAGCCGAAGACACCGGCGATGAGTCCACACTATTATCTCTATTAAAAATATTTCTCAAACGATTCAATTCAATCAATTGTCGTCTCATTTTATTTTCTTCATTACTTCTCACGAATTCCTATGAAATAAATTTAAAAACAGTTTTAATTATTTTATATTTTAATTAATTAACTATAAAACTAATTACTGGTCTCATTCCGGCCTCAAAGCACTTGGTCAATCGGCAAAATCTGCAAATAGTCCTGGTCAATTTGTTTACAGTGCATTTACCAGTAGATGGGCATGGTGCATATGTCTACAATTAAATAAACATGATTAATAATAGCAAGTATTACAGTATAACTAATTTTTAATTTACAATATTATTATTTATACCTTATTTAGACGAATGGCTCTCCGGAAGAATGCTTTACAGCTTTCGCAGACATTTGCCGTGAAGTTTCGACCTTAAATTATATGTAAAAAATTAGATTAATAAACTTTAATAAAAATTTATTGTTTTTAAAAATTTATATTTTGAATTACAAAGTGTTTTATCGCCGCAAACATCGCAATCCTTGTTTCCTTTGTATCGACTCATTATATTAAAAACCACAATAACTAATAATAATATTTAAAGTAGTAATTAATTAATTAAACAAATTACATATTATAGTAAATTATGCCATAGTATTCGTTATTGTGCAAAACTATAACACAGTTAACCAATAGTTATGAAACAAGTATAACAAATCTAACAAACATTAATTACATTATGAATAAGATTTTACACAATTTACTGTTTTCTTCAGACATTTTATTGATTGCAATTACAGTGAATGTCATAAGAATTATCATGTTTTTATATGTAGTTTCATTAAACAGTACATGTAATTATGCACTAAATGTTGATTACATTTTACAGTTGATTAGATTATTTACATCAAGTATATTTATGATAAAACATAAATATATAGATAGATCATTTAAAGTTTAAATATGGTTTAAATTTTAAGTCATATATAAAGTTTATGTAACCATTATGTTCTCTTTGAATGTAGGAACATTTGGCATATAAGTTTATTATGTAGATTTAAAACTAATTTAGTTAATTTTTACGATTTTAATATTTATTATTTAATTATAAACAAGGGTCAATGTTGTAAATCTCCCTGGTCAATGGACCACAAGATGGGATCAATTCTTTGTATTCTTCGCTCTTCGCGTACTTCATCTGCATTTCACTCAAAGCATTCAAATCTGTGGACATTTTCAACACATTTAATAGATATGAATGAGACTCACATTCGGACCCGTATTTCAATAGTAGATATCTTTGCAGTAAATATATATAAAGTTGTTGTTCGAGTCTAATAATACATGGTATAAATTAGTGTTAATTAAATATCAATATTTCCAATCATTAATTTATTAACACTCACTTTACTGTATGCTTGTGTTTAAGATGTGGACGATTTGGGTTATAGAGCAATATCGCGGTGAACTAAAAATGAAATAAAATAAACAATGTAAAATTTTTAAAGTTTTTTAATTTAAATAAAATGGAAATTAATTGTACCAGATCAACTATAAGAGAGTCGTGTTTGCAAAGCGACATAAACTTATCGATATACAATCTAATTGTGGGATAATATTGGGATAAACAATTGGGAAAATCCAATTGAAACACATCTAGTTTGACAACAATTGTATTGTCGTTATCCTATTTTAAAATTAAAAAAACCAACAAATTAGTTATATTACATTAACAATTACACTAAAACATGATCACAATTGGGTGCCAATACAACCATATGCTCACCACTTTCATGAAAAGGCTATCAAAATCGTTGTCGTAATGCATTGTTTCGCGTAATAAAAGCATTTCAAGACAACCACTCTTGAGTAGAGACAACTGATCGTCGGAACAGATGGTCGCGAATCCGTTCAGATTCTTGCAAAACCGTACGATATCTGTGAAAAAGTTTTCCCGCTTTCCATTGTATTTACGGATCATATCCTTCAAGTCATTCACTGTCTCTATATTTTGGGACATATTTTGGTCAAATATTTTGGTTGCGCTCAACAGCTCTGCTATTCTGTTGGTCTCCAAACAGTTCCAGTCGTTTGGGTTATGAAGTGGTCTAATGACAGGAATGATAGCCAATTCCGGCGCCGATTGTATTTCATTTGTCTCTTCATTGGCATTGATTTCATTAACTGATAAATTGATCTCAATTTCCAGTATCTGTTGTGTCAGCTCTTCGTCACTAATATTCACTGTTTTATCAATCAATTCGTTCAAAAAAATTTCACATTCATTGAAATTGTGTGAATGTGTGGACACGTCTGAAGCCGTAGACACCGGCGATGAGACCACACTTTTATCTCTATTGTGTTTGTTCTCATCTAATGTTTGCTTCATTTTGTTTTCATTATTACTTTTTATAAATTCCTTTCGTATGAATTAAAAATTCAGTTAAAGTTACTTTTATTTGAAAATAAAACATTTTTAAAAAATAAATACCCGTCTCATTCCGGCAGAGAAACATTTATTCAACCTGCACAATTTACATAATGTCCTGGTTATTATATTAACAACACACATGCCATTAGATGGGCATGGGAATTGCTATGAAATATAAACATGAGTAAATAAATATTAATTTTATTGTTTGCAACACTATTCATACCTTATTTAGACGAATGGCTCTCCGAAAGAATCCTTTACACGATTCGCAGGCATTCGCTGAAAAATTTCTACCTTTAATTATGATTAAAATAAACAAATAAAAATTTAGACAAATTTTATTAAATATATTAGTTGTAATACAATAACATAAAAGGTGCATAAATTAACTTACAAAATGCTTTATCTCCACATATATCGCAAATCCCATTCCCTTTGTATCGACTCATTATAATTAACACCAAATAAATTAACAATTAATTATAAATTTTAAAAACAAGAATGTTTATATTTATATCTAGTTTAAACCTTAGCCATGTTGAAAATTATGATATAATCTTTATTATAGTGAGAGATACTTAAATATTTTATTTGTTGATAAAGTAATAGAGTTGTTGCTAAATAATGATAACTTTCAAGTGTTAAAAATCAATTAGTTATCACATAAATTATTTTACTTATTATTAAAAACATTTTACAAATATTTTATTGATTGCCATCACATAAGTGAAGGACTTTTTGTAATTAATTACAATTAAGTAATCAATTACTAATAATTATATTATCTTACAGTTTAAGTTTGAGTTGATGTAAATTAAATAACACAAAAATATAAACGTATAATTAGTTTATTTACAATAATTTGCAATAAGTTTGAGGAAAATTATCAATTGTATTGACACAAAGGTTTTAGTAATAAGTTATTACTAATAACACAAATGTTTATTTCATTGATTATTTAATTATGTACATGTGTCAAACTCGTAAATCTCCCTGGTCAATGGACCACATGATGGGATCAGATCTTTGAATTCTTCGCCCTTTGTGTACGTCCTCTGCATTTCACTCAAAGCATTCAAATCTGTGGACATTTTCAACACATTTAATAGATATGAATGAGACTCACATTCGGACCCGTATTTCAATAGTAGATATCTTTGCAGTAAATATATATATAGTTGTTGTTCGAGTCTAATAAACACCATGGTAAAAATTAAATTAAATACATTAGTAAATTATATTATTGTTTTATACAACAACATTATTATACTGTTTATTGTATAACTAATATTTAATAGTAATCAATGATTAGCACTCACTTAACATTATGCCGATGTTTAAGATGCGGCAGATTTGGGTTAAATAGTAATATCGCGGTGAACTATAAATAATACAAAATAAACAATGTAGAAAATTATAATTTACCTAAGTTAAAATTAATTGTACCAGATCAACTATAAGTGGATCGTGTTTGCAATTCGGAACAAAATTATTGATAAATAATCTAGCTCTGGGATAATATTGGGATAAACTCTCCAATTGAAACACATCTAATTTGATAGCAATTGTATTGTCATTATCCTATTTGCAAAATGAAAAACAAATAGTTATATTACAATAAAATATAATCATAATTGTGTGTTAATATGACCATGCTCACCACTTTAATGAAAAATCTATCCAAATCGTTGTTATAATACATGGCTTCGCGCAGTAAAAGCATATCAAGACAACCACTCTTGAGTAGAACCCACTGATCATCGGAACAGATCCGAGTGAATCCCATCAAACCTTTTGAAAACTGTACGGTATCTGTGATAAAGTTTTCCAGTTTTATATTGTAATTACGGACAGTATCTTTGAAATTATTCAATGAAATAATATTTTTGGACAATTTATAGTCAAATATTTTGGTTGCGCTCAACAGCTCTGCTATTCTGTTGGTCTCCAAACAGTTCCAATCGTTGCGGTTATTGAGTGGTCTAATGATAGGCATAATCGCCAGTTTCTGAGATTCTGGTGACGATTGGATTTGATTTGTTACATAACTTTTATTATTTTCATTTACCGATAATTTAATATCAATTTCCAGTATCTGTTGTGACAGCTCTTCGTCACTAATGGTAAGCGTTTTGTCAATTAATTCATTTAAGAAATCCTGATCTTCGGGTAAAAAGGGTTTTTCTGAATGTGTGGACACGTCTGAAGCCGAAGACACCGGCGATGAGACAACACTATTATCTTCATTGTGCTTATCGTTCAAACATTTATTTTTATTAATTATTTTCTTTATTTTGTTGTCATTAATATTCACGAATTCCTATCAGAAAATACAATTTAAATTATATTCAAATTAAATTCCAATATAAAAATTCTAAATAAATACCCTTTTCATTCCGGCGTCGAAACACTTATTCAACCTGCACATTTTACATATTGTCCTGGTGTCTTTATTTACAACACACTGGCCATTAGATGGGCATTGATAGTGCTATAAAATATAAACATATACATACATTGCATAAATAATTTTTAAAAAACAAAGTGTGTTCATTGATACATGTAGGCAGGAATTTTAATTTGGTTGGCATTTGAACAGCCCTTGTAACTTATCTTAATAGAATTAGGTTTATTAAAACAATAATTGATTATATTTTTGTATTATTGTTTTCAATACAATTCATACCTTATTTTTATAAATAGCTCTCCTAAAGAAACTCTTACACGATTCGCAGGCATTTGCTGAAAAATTTTTGCCTATTGTTGTAATTAAAATTAATAAATTCATTAATATTGTCATCAAATTTGCATAGATGGAATCTAATGTTTGTAATATAATAACATAATAATACAATAGCATAAATAGTCACATGAGTTAACTTACAAAATGTTTTATCGCCACAAATATCGCAAATCCCGTTCCCTCTGTATCGACCCATTATAATTAACACCAATTTAATTGCCTGGTAAATATAATTCTAATATACACAATCAATGTTTAATAACGTCAAATATAAGTTTAAACATCAACCATGTTGGAAATGATGAAATACTCTTTTCAATTGTGAATAAAACTAAACTATTTGATAATTATATATTACTACTGTTGTTGCTAAACAATTATACATAAACTAAAAGTACTATTAAATCAATAAACATCAATTATTTTTCACAAACATTTTATACACTACCATCACATCAGTGAAGGACATATCAATTATACATTTAATATCTTAATGATTAAGACTTTATGTTGCAGATGGAGTGGAAGTAAATAATTTAACACATAATATAAACGTATTTTAAAGCAATTTATTTAATATTTACATTAATTTTTATGTTTTATTTGCGGAAAGTTATCAAATGTATTGACAATGTTTGACAATGGTAATAACATTATGTTATGTCAATTTGACAGACGTTTTATACAACTGTGATATATTTATTGTTTAATTAAGCACAAGTATCAAGCTCATAAATCTCTGTTGTCAATGGACCACAATATGGGATCAATTCTTTGAATTCTTCGTCCTTTGCGTAAATCAATTGCATTTCACTCAAAGCATTCAAATCTGTGGACATTTTTAGCAGATTTATTAGATATGAATGAGACTCACATTCCGATCCGTATTTCAATAGTAGATATCTTTGCAGTAAATATATATACAGTTGTTGTTCGAGTCTAACAAACAATTCAATAAACGTATTTTAATCACTAAATTACCTCATTTAATATGAATACTCACTTAACACTTTGTTTGTGTTTAAGATTTGGACGATCAGAGTTAAAAAGTATAATTGCTGTTAACTAGAAATAAAACTCATTATTAAATCTATATAAATCACATACAAATAAAAAATTAATTGTACCAAGTCAGCTATAAGTGGATCATGTTTGCAATAAGGCACAAATCTTTCCATAAACAATTTATATCTGGGATAATATGATGATATTTTATCTATTTTAAACACATCCAGTTTAACTGCCATTGTGTTTTCATCATCCTATTTACATAATATGGTAAAATAAATATTACACTTAGGTTACTATAATATTAATACATAATTGTTTTCAATATGACCATGTTTACCCCTTTCATGAAAAAACTATCCAGGTTGTTGTTATAATACAGGGCTTCACGTAATAAAAGCATTTCAATGCAACCACTCTTGAGTAGAACCAACTGATCGTCGGAACAGATGTGAGTGAATCCGTTCAGACTCTTCGTGAACCGTACGATATCTGTGAGAATGGCCTCCAGTTTTGTATTGCAATTACGGACCATATCTTTGAAACTATTAACTCGTGTAATATTTTTAGGAGACTTTTGGTCAAATATTTTGGTTGCGCTCAACAGCTCTGCTATTCTGTTGGTCTCCAAACAGTTCCAGTCGTTGTGGTTATTGAGTGGTCTAATGATAGGCATAATCGCCAGTCGACGAGATTCTGGTGTCGTTTGTATTTCATTATTATTTTCATTTACCGATAAATTGATAACAATTTCTGATATCTGATGCGACAGCTCTTCGTCACTAATGGTAAGCGTTTTGTCAATTAATACATCCAAAAAGTCCTGATCTTCGGGTAAAAAGTGTTGGTTTGGATGTGTGGACACGTCTGAGAGCAAAGGCATTGGCGATGAGACAACACTACTGTTTTCATTTGTCTTATGGTTCAAACATTTATTTTCATTTATTTTTCTCTTTGCTTTGTTTTCATTAATATTTATACATTCCTTTAGTATTGATTAAAAAACAATTAAAATTAAGTATAAATTAATTTCCAATATTAAAATTAAAAATATATACCCGTCTCATTCCGGCGTCGAAACACTTATTCAACCTGCATAATTTGCACATTATCCTGGTTGTTTTGTTTACAACACACTGGCCATTATATATGCATATAAATTGCTATGAAATATATTTATTGTCAATTTAATAACTGTTTGCAATAAATCTCATACTTTATTTAGACGAATGGCTCTCCGAAAGAATCCTTTACACGATTCGCAGGCATTAGCCGTAAAATTTCTGCCTATTATTGATTAAAATTAATTAAATTTACGTAAATAGAATCTAATATTTGTAATACAATAAAATAAATAATCACTTGAGTTAACTTACAAAATGTTTTATCGCCACAAATATCACAAATCCTTTCCCCTCTGTATCGGCTCATTATAATTAATGCCAAATTAATTAATTATTAATTATAAATTTAATATACTGTACACAATAAATTCTTATTAACATTCAGTTTAAACCTCAACCATGTTGTAAATTATTAAATACTATTTTCTGTCGTAAAAGATACTAAACTAGTTTATCATTATATAAAGTTGTTGCTAAATATCAGTGAAGGACATATCAATTATAATCAGGAGTACACAAAGTTACAAAATGAATATACTGTACATCAAAATGCATTATTAGCACATTACTGGCCCGCATGCGATCTCATGGTTATAATCAATTTTCAAGTTTTAGTTAAAGTAAATAATTGTACACAAAATAAATTTATTAATGAGTGATTATTTTATTTACAGTAATTTCCGGTGAGTTTAGAGCATGTTATCAAAAGTGTTAACATAATTGTTTTATAATCACTGATGAAACAAGTGATTATTTAATTAAGCACAAGTATCAAGCTCATAAATCTCTGTTGTTAATGGACCACAATATGGGATCAATTCTTTAAATTCTTCGTCCTTTGCGTAAATCATTTGCATTTCACTCAAAGCATTCAAATCTGTGGACATATTTAGCAGATTTAATAGATATGAATGAGACTCACATTCGGACCCGTATTTCAATAGTAGATATCTTTGCAGTAAATATATATACAGTTGTTGTTCGAGTCTAATAAACACCATGGTAAAAATTATGTAATTTATATAGTAATAATTGTTTGGTAATCACTGAATTATATGATTAATTAATTATATCATTTAATACTCACTTAACACATTGTTTGTGTTTAAGGTTTGGACGTTTAGAATTAAAAAGTACGATTGCGGTTAACTAGAAATAATGTCCAGAAATAAATTATTAATTCAATGTGAAGCACATTCAAATAAAATTAATTGTACCAGGTCAGCTATAAGTGGATCATGTTTGCAATAAGGAACAAATTTCTCCATAAACAATCTATATGTGGGATAATACGATGGTATATTTTCAAATTGAAACACATCCAGTTTGACAGCCATTGTGTTTGCATTATCCTATTTACATAATAGGGTAAAATAAATAATAGTATACACAGAATATATTACCGGTATATTATCATTATATGACCATGCTTACTAGTCTCATAAAAAAGCTATCCGAGTTGTCATTATAATACATGGCTTCGCGCAGTAAAACCATATCAATGCAACCACTCTTAAGTAGAACCCACTGATCATCGGAACAAATGCGAGTGAATCCGTTCAGACTCTTCGTGAACCGCACGATATCTACGATAAAGTCCTCGAGTTTTGTATTGTAATTAAGGATCATATCTTTGAAAGTATTGACTCGTATAATATTTGTGGACAACGTTTGGTCAAATATTTTGGTTGCGCTCAACAGCTCTGCTATTCTGTTGGTCTCCAAACAGTTCCAGTCGTTGCGGTTATCAATCGGTCGAACGACTGGCATAACTGACAATTCCCGCAATTCTGACGTTAAAATAGCTTCAGTTATCTCATCGTTGGTCTCATTCACCGGTAAATTGATCTCAATTTCCGATATCTGTTGTGACAACTCTTCGTCACTAATAGTAAGCGTTTTGTCAATCAATTCATTTAAAAAGTCTTTGCCTTCAATTGGTTGTTGTAAATGTGTGGACACGTCTGAAGCCGTAGACACCGGCGATGAAACTACACTATTATCTTCATTATAACTGTTTTCATTCAAACATTTATTTTTATTAATTTTTCTCTTCGTTTTGTTTTCTTCATTACTTCTTATTAATTCCTTTTATATTAATTAAAATATAGTTAAAATTATTTAAATTAAACCCCAAAATAAACATTTTAATTAAATACCCGTCTCATTCCAGCTGCGAGACACTTATTCAACCTGCATAGTTTGCACATTGTCCTGGTTATTTTGGTTACAACACATTGGCTATTAGATGGACAGACAAATTCCTATAAAATATAACCATGAACAAATTGACAATATGTGCATTAATTTTATTGTTTGCAATACTATTCATACCTTATTTAGACGAATGGCTCTCCGAAAGAACCCTTTACACGATTCGCAGGCATTTGCAGAAAAATTTCTGCCTTTTATTATAATTAAATAATTAAATTAATAAAAATATAATTAATAGCAAATACAATAGCAAATAGTCACTTGAGTTAACTTACAAAGTGTTTTATCCCCACAAACATCGCAAATCCCGCTCCCTTTGTATCGACTCATTATAATTAACGCAAAATTATTTAATTATTAGTTATAAATTAGTTATTTGTTATTTAAAACATCAATGTAGTCAGTTGTAAATCACAACCATGTTGCAAATTATGCAATACTCTATGTTATCGTGAAATATACAGTATTAAATTTGATAATTATATTCAGTACTGTTGCTAAACAATGACAACAACAAAATGTATTAACAATAAATTATTGGTTACATTCACGGGTTTTTCCAATCATTTTATTGAGTACATTAGTGAAGGGCATATCAATTATGTCTTACAGTTTAAGTTAAAGTAAACAAAATACACAACATATTAAACGTTAGATTAGTTTATTTACATTAATTTGTGATGAGTTCTGGTAAAGTTGTCACATTTATTGACGTAAAAGTTTATCATCATTTAAATAGCGATAATAAAAATACTGATGTTATAAACATGTAAATTTTAATTACTATAACTACTAATTTTGCTATGTTTCCGCTTAACCTAAATTACGATCATTGATATTAAAATTTATTTATTCAACTTTAATAACACAAACTATAATGTAAAATGTACATATTAAATATATACAAAAATTATAAGTATCTTGATCAAAATGTTAAAATAATGATTAAGCTTAATTACTATTAAATATTATTATTCATACTGTTTAGTGGTTAAGGTATAAATTGTGACGAAAATGACTTTCGAGGAATGACATTATCTCGTTTTTACCATTGTTTTTATCATTGTTTAAATATTTTCATATTTCATGCATTTTTCCTAAGAAATACACATACAAGCACTGAAACATATGTACACATTGTCCTAATTAGCATTTGACCCACATATGGGACACAAACTCACCCTTTTATGATATGCCTTTAGGCAACGCTTTCCTCGAAATAATACATTTCGACGCATTTCTCATACGATTTTCGTTCATTCATGTAATCATGTTTTTTATCAATAACTAGAATACGTTTTTATCATAAATAATGCTTTATTCATTGTATAATTGCATAAAACATAACACATCTAACGGCACCAAAATCGGGCGCCAACTCATGTATTTTCGCTCTCAAAAAGAGAGACATTTCATGTATAAACCGTAGCCCCAGAAATACTCATTTTTGGGCTATTCACTCGTTATTCATTCAATAAAAGCAACGGCACCAAAATCGGGCGCCAACTCATGTATTTTCGCTCTCAAAAAGAGAGACATTTCATGTATAAACCGTAGCCCCAGAAATACTCATTTTTGGGCTATTCACTCGTTATTCATTCAATAAAAGCGGCGTATTTTTGCACTTAAAATATGGGTACTCTCTCTTTCTTACGGCGTGTCGGCTTTGCTGGAAGCTTAGACTGCCTTCTGCTACTCTGCGTGTGTCTTTGACCACAAAGTTCTACCGGCTTTACCTTTCTTACCCTAAAATGCGGCGACAATATACGCTTAGTGCGCACAATTCCGGCGCCACAGCACTCGTCGCCCAATTCCGGCGACATACCCCGTAAACCCAGTACCCCCTACTTTGCATTCGTTCGCTCATCATTTCAGTGATTCATTCGCCACATTCGCGCGCGCCATAGACAATAAACATTAGCCCCCGTATTCACGCGCGCCCATACGTGAATCCACGCGATTCCCGCGTCTGTCGGTGAGTTGCGACAGCAGTGTTGAACCCGTGTGTGTGTCTTCCCGACGGTGAAACCGGTCATCGGATCAGTTCCCGTCCGTACGGATCGAACCCAACCCAAGATCCGTCACAAAATATTTTTAAGTCATTTATAATTTAATTAAGCACAAGCATCAAGCTCAAAAATCTCTATTGTTAGTGGACTACAATATGGTAGAAATTCTTTGTATTCTTCGCCCTTTGTATACATCCTTTCCATTTCACTCAAAGCATTCAAATCTGTGGACATATTTAGCAGATTTAATAGATATGAATGAGACTCACATTCGGACCCGTATTTCAATAGTAGATATCTTTGCAGTAAATATATATACAGTTGTTGTTCGAGTCTAACAAACATGGTATAAATTATTGCTAATTAAATATCAATATTTCCAATCATAACTTTATAAACACTTACTTTACTGTATGCTTGTGTTTAAGATGCAGACGATTAGGGTTGAAGAGTATAATCGCTGTTAACTATTATTGTTTGTATAAAATAATATTAAGTGAGTGTAAATCAATTATGATTAGAACATTTTACCAGATCAGTTATAATTTTATCATGTTTACAATAGAGAATGAATTTATCCATCAGCAATCTTAATTGGGGTAAATAAGGAACATTGCCCATATTAAACACATCCAGTTTAATTACAATTGTAGTCTCGTTATCCTATTTATATTGAAAATTATTCATTAGTAAAATAAACAAAATGAAAAACATGGTGATAATTAAATAGTCCAATAATTTATTATATAATAAATATTAATTAGGCTCACATGATTCAAGAAAAAACTATCTAGATCCTGATTATAATACATGCTTTGGCGCAATAAAATTAAATCAAGACAACCACTCTTGAGGAGTACCATCTGGTCATCGGAACAGATCCTCGTCAAGAATCCATTCAGACATTTAGCAAACTGTACGATATCTGCGACCAAGTCTTTAAATTTTATGTTGTATTTACAAATCATATCTTTAAAGTCATTCACAGACACCATATTTGCGGACAATTTATATTCAAATATTTTGGTTGCGCTCAACAGCTCTGCTATTCTGTTGGTCTCCAAACAGTTCCAGTCGTTTGGGTTATGGAGTGGTCTAATGATAGGCATAACTGCCAGTTCTGGCACTGAATTCAATTCAGTTGTCTTTACTTTGTTTTCATTCAATGATAATTTAATATCAATTTCCGATATCTGTTGTGTCAGCTCTTCGTCGCTAATGTTTACTGTTTTACCAATAATTTCAGTCAAAAAGTCGTGGCATTCAATGAATTGCTGTGAATGTGTGGACACGTCTGTAGCCGTAGACACCGGCGATGAGACCACACTATTATATCCATTGGGTTTGTGTTTTAAGATATTTAATTCAAGCATTTGTTTTCGGATTTTATTTTCTTCATTACTTCTTATGGACTCCTTTCAGACAAATGCAAAAATTAAAAGAAAGTTTATTAGATTTTAATAAAAAACTGTATAATTAAAAATTAATTAAACCACCTTTCTCATTCCGGCTGCATAGCACTTATTGAGTCGGCATAATTTGCAAATTGCCCTGGTTGATTTGTTTATAACGCACTGGCTATTTGCCGGACAGATAAATATCTAGATAAAATCAACATGATAAATTAATTTTTTTAAATATTATTTCTTTATAATACAATTCATGCCTTATTTTCACGAATAGCTCTCTTAAAGAACATTTTACACGATTCACATATAATTACCAAAACATTTCTGCCTTTGATTGAAATATAAATAAATCATTAAATAAAGAATAATACAATGGATTATAATATTTTAATTTATTATAATAATAACAAAAACAATTTCAATAAGTTCACTTACAAAGTGATTTATAATCGCCGCAAACTTCACAAGTTTTGTCCACTTTGTATGGACTCATTACAATAATTAAAGCTTAAATAATTAACTATAAATAATTTAGATATTAAATTCAATATAAATATTTAATTATATGTTATTATGACAATAATACAGCCATGTTTCAAATAGTGCAAATAGTGCATTTAATCTACTAGTAATTAAAATTATTTGCTGCACAATCATAACAAACATAATCTCATTACGTAATGTTAAATAAAACAAAAACTTTCAAGGTAATGTAGCTTATGCTAGCATTACAAGCATTTTAATGAATACTGTATAAAATGATAGATTTAAAATTTTTTGATTTAATTTGTATTTAAAAATTTATTTATAACTCGTTTACAAAATTATTATTCATTAAATACAATATTTTATTTAAAAATTCATATTTACACCAAATCTAATACCTCTTTAATGAGAGGTCCGATATAATGAGAATAAGGCATGAATTCCTGTATTCCGTACGTATACTGTATTTCTCGCAATACATTCAAGTCTTTCATCAAAAACATCAATTCTTGTAGTTTTGACTCCGATTCCGAGCGGTATTTCAATAGTAAATATCTTTGCAGTAAATATATATACAGTTGTTGTTCGAGTCTATAAAATCTTATAAAATTAAAACTATAATCTACTTAAATTAATGTGTTATATAATTGTACATATAATGTAGTTACTTACTTAACGGGCTCCTTGTGTATTAAATTAGGTCTTTTTGGATCAAAGAGTATAATTGCATGTAGCTAAATTAAAGTTTTAATTTTTTATTAGTAATTAGTATTTATAAAAGATTGTAATTAAATTAATAACTAAATTTTATACCAAATTCAAAACAATATAATCTTGGTTCAACAAACAAATTATTTTGGTTAAAAACTCCTTGACAAGATCACGTTGATTTACTTTATCCAATTTAAAAGAATCTAGATCGAATATTGCTGAGCTCTCTTGATCCTAATAATTAATAATAAATTTAAAACATGCATTATATAAATTTACATGTATGTCTACTAACCAAGCTCATTGTAAATTGTTCAGTTTGTGGATTATAACTCGTTACAAGACTTATAAAATTCATATCTATGTAGCCATATTTTATCAGAAGTAATTGATCATGGTCGCAAACATTTCCAAATCCATTAAGGCACTTTGAGAATTCAACTATCCTGGTGATTAAATTCTCATTTCTGGGGCAAATATATTTCATCATATCCTCCCTATTCCTTAATCGCAAATAGTTTTTACTCAAAGGATTACTGAATACATTACACGCCTCTATCAGCTCCGACACACGGCTCGACTCCAACGCATTCAGACTGTTATAATCGGTTATCTCTTTAAACACCGGCACTATTGCCAGTTCCTTATGTTTTTGATATTGATTACTGTTTACTAATTGATCATGTGTTTTGGTATATGATTTAGATTTGTCTGAATTCATATGCATATTAATTAAATCATTTATCCCATAGTTGTCTGTATTTTGTGGATAACCGATATTTTGTGATGAATCAAATATTTGTGATAAAACATCGCTTTCATCACAACTAATGTCTGATATCTGATGTAGTATTTTATCATTACTTTCATCGCTTATATCCAATGAATTTATATTAATTTGAGAAACAATTTCATGATTATGATTGCGAGTGATTTGATGTACATTTTCTAATGAATAATCTGTTGTCAATAGTTTATAACCAATTGTCTGTTTTTGTTTATTTGATAACTTTTTGGTTTTACTACAATCATTAATTCCAATTAATTCCTAAATAAAATTAATATTTAATTAAATTAAATACAAATGAAATAATAATTAATTACTAATTTAGTTACCTTGTTCATTCCGTTGGCCAAACACTTTTCAAGTCTGCATTTTTTGCATAATTGTCTCGTTTTAACCGTTATATCGCACCTCCCATTAGACGGACACATAAATGTCTATTAAATCAACATTTCATTAGTTTTAATCCAAAATATAATAATTTTGTGTTAAATAACTTGTAGTTTGAGTGCATTTCGTCTAAAAAACACTTTACATCCCTCACATGTTATGACCAAATAATTTCGGCCTAAAATAACATCAAAAGCATAATATGTAATAAAATATAAAATTAAATAAATATTTATAATTATTAAATAATAATCTTACCAAACGCTTTGTCGCCGCAAATCAAGCAAATTTTATTTAATTTACATTCAGTCATTGTTTCTATCAATTACTATTTGGATAACCATGCAACTATTTAATTTGTCAAATTTATAAATTTTGTTAGCATTAAATTGATTGACAGAAATATTAAATCACTAATAATTGATAAGTAATTAAAATGTATTGCTTTTCACAGATATAATACATAATAAGCGGCAATCTTTGTATAGTTATACCATAATTAATGGCTTATTAATTACTTTATAATGTAATGATTAATAAATAGTTAAACATAATATTTTTAAAATTCAATAAAATTGCCATTTTATGAAAGTTTTATTTGAAGGGCGATTTATTGTTTGTTAATGAGTTTTAATCATAACACAGATTAGATTTACAATTTTTACATAGATTTCTTATAAAATACGTCAAACTTTAGGTATATTCTAAGCACTGTAAAATATGTTACATTATTTGTTACATTCATTTTTAATATCTCATTAATAAGTTATTTAAAATAATTCAGATAAATTAAAAATTAAAAATGATTATCTATTTTAAATCTAATGTCTCTTTCATAAGTGGTCCGAAATAGTGGGCATAAGGCATGAATTCCTGTATTCCGTACGTATACTGTATTTCTCGCAATACATTCAAGTCTTTCATCGCTAACATCAAGTCTTGTACTTTTAATTCCGATTCCGACGGGTATTTCAATAGTAGATGTCTTTGCAGTAAATATATATACAGTTGTTGTTCGAGTCTAACAAACAAAATAAAATATAACTATTAGTTAAATGTATAATTTAAAATATTATATATCATAATAACTAACTTTACGGACTCCTTGTGTATTAGATTAGGTCGTTTCGGGTCGAAGAGTATAATTGCATGTAGCTAAATTAAAATGTTGATAATTAACTTTCTCATAAAAGTTTTGATTGATGTATAACCATAATTACTTACCAAATTTAAAACAACACTATCCTGGTTTACAGCAGAGATTAATTTATTTAGGAACTCTTTGACAATACCACCTAGATTTACTTTATCTAATTTAAACGCATCTAGATCGAGTATGGCTGAGTTATCCTGGTCCTATCAATATGATAAAATTTTAAATAATTGCATAATCGATTTAATAATACAGCGTTACTACTAACCAAACTTATTGTAAAATGCTCAGTTTGTGGATTATAGCTGGTAACAAAACTTATAAAATTCATATCCATATAACCATATTTAACCAAAAGTAATTGATCATGGTTGCAAACATTTCCAAATCCATTCAGGCACTTTGAGAATTGAGCTATCCTGGTGATGAAACTCTCATTTCTAGCACTAGTATACTTGACTATATCCTCCCTATCCCTTAATCTGAAATAGTTTTTACTCAACGGATTACTGAATACATTACACGCCTCTAACAGTTCCGATACACGGCTCGACTCCAACGCATTCAGACTGTTATAATCGGTTATCTCTTTAAACACCGGCACTATTGCCAGTTCCTGGTGTTTGTGATGTTGGTTACTATCGGTTGATTGATCACGTGTTGTCGCATCTATGTTAGATTCGTCTAAATTCATCAACAAATCAATTAAGCTATTTATTTGATAGTTGTCTGCATTTTGTGGATAAGTTGTGGTATTTTCTGGTGAATCAGATATTTGTGATAAAACATCGCTTTCATCACAACTGATGTCCGATATCTGATGTAGTATTTTATCATTACTTTCATCGATTATATCCAATGAATTTATATTAATTTGCGAAATAATTTCTTGATTATCATTCAAAGTGTTTACTGATTGACAATCATTTTCTGGTGTAGTATCTGTTGTCAATTGTTTGCAATTAATTATCTGTTTTTGTTTAGCTTTTTGTTTATTTATTAACTTTTTGGTTTGATTTGAATCATTAATGCCTATGAATTCCTGTATGAAAATAAATTTACAATTAAAATTAAACACTAAATCAATACTAAATTAATTACTTTTTTCATTCCGTTGGCAAAACACTTTTCAAGTCTACATTTTTTGCATAATTGTCTCGTATTAACACTTATATTACATTTTCCATTAGACGGACACATAAATCGCTGTCAAATTAAACACGTTATTAGTTTTATTTATAAATAAGTTACATTAATAAATTAATTAACCTGTGGTTTGAGTGCATTACGTCTGAAAAAGGCTTTACACGACTCACATGTTAGGACTAAATAATTTCTACCTATAAAATATATCATGTATTTATAAACACAAACATATTATACTGTACAATAAAATAAAAACTATAAATATTAGTTTACCAATAGCTTTGTCACCGCAAACCAAGCAAGTTTTATTTAGTTTACATTCATTCATTATGTGTATTGAATTTACACGGTATGTATAAAGTACTATTAATTATTATTAGGATGATGTTGGTATTATTATATTTATTAAATTATATATTTGATTGACAACACATGATACTATCACTAGTAATCACTATAACTGATATTAGTACCACTAATATAATACATATTACATTTAGCGGTTATCCTTTATGTGGTTAATTGCTTTATAATATGATTGATTAAAAATAGTTAAACATTTATAAACATTATTATAAATCTATTAAATAAATGTTAATCGAAAATCAATTGAAATAAAAATTAAAATATACTTTACAGTTGGAATATAAACACACTGTAAAAATATAATTGATTACTTAAGCTAAATCACAACAATGTTATTGTATTTTCCAACAGTCCTTCAATAAAATTACCGACATTTTTGAAGATTTTGTTTGAAGGACAAACTGATTGTTCATGAATTTTATTTATAACATTGATTAGAGTCACAACTTTTACATAGATTTCGTATCAAATAGATAAAACTTTAGGTGCATTTTAAACCCTATTGTTTTTCACCTAATTAAATAATATAAAATATATAAAATTTAAATTCTAATTTGCATCTAGATACAACTATTAATAAGAACTTTAAAAAATTTTATTGTACATAAAACTAGTTTTCATTTAAATTAATATCATATATCTCTTTAATAAGTGGTCCAAAATAATTCAAATGCTCTTTAATTTCTTCTAATCCTTGGGTTATATCGTATTCTCTCATAATTAACATCTCTTTTACTAAATTCATTACTGTTTGAAGTTTTGTCTGTGACTCCCATTCCGAGCGGTATTTCAATAGTAGATATCTTTGCAGTAAATATATATACAGTTGTTGTTCGAGTCTAACAAACAATTTAATTAATAAATTATTTGTTTTATGTAAATTGTAAATTAAACTAAATAATTCATTATATTATAAACTTACGCCACATTATGCTTATGGGTTAGATTTGGTCGATTGGGATTGAATAGCACTATTGCCATAAACTACATAATAAATATAAAATGCTTAATTAATTATTTAAATGCTAATATAAATATTATTAAATTAGAATAAATACCAAATTATTTACAACCGGATCATTCTTGACATCTAGTTGCAATTTACGCATGGTACCTAACATTATGTCTACATAATTGACATTTTTGAATCCTAACTCATTCAAACTTATTACAATACAGTTATCACTTCCCTGGAAAACGTGGTAAATAAATAAATGTTAATAAACAAATAAATTTATAAAATTAAAACATACCATATACAGAGTAAGGCTGTTATTTGCAATATTATAGCCATTATTGCTGCTAATGTGCATCAATTCAAGTGACCCGTACTTAAAGAGCGCCAACTGATCGGTAAAACACAGGTTTGAAAAACCGGTCAACCCTTTGCACAAAGCGATCAAATCACTGATCAGATACTCAGCTCTTTGTGTCGACAATTTGACCATTTCTTCCTTATCACTCACTTTAATGGCATTCGTAGGCATCGGATAATCCAATACTTTACACGCCATCAATAGCTCCGATACCCGACTGGTTTCCAATTGATTTAAGCCGTTATAATCAGTGAGTGATTTAAATATGGGAACGACTGTTAGTGTTTGCATTTTGTGGCAATACTTGTCAATCAGTGTAGTGTTTGTCGTTAAAATATTTTCAATTTCGCCAATTTGTTTGTTTAGGTCTTTGTTATTGATTTTGGGTGTGTTTTGAATCCAATCAAACATTAGATCCAATTCATTAGTGTCTTCGGCGGACACCGAGTTGTCTGTCGTCTCAGATCGGAAAGAATCTGTGTTTTGTGGCAACGATTTTACTCTTCTCTTCCTCTCCAAGAGCTGAAGTCGTCTCAATTGGTTTTCGTCATCACTTCGTATCAATTCCTATACAATTAACGTATGATTTACTATACAATCACTTAATTGTCAGCAATTAATACCTTTTTCATTCCCACAGCCAAACACTTTTCAAGTCTACATTTTTTGCATAAATGTTTTGTTTTTGAGTTTATAATACATTTGCCATTTGATGGACAGTATAGTGTCTGCCAATAATTAAATAGTTTTAATTTATTAATTAATATTATAAAATAGATTTAATAATTATTTATTACTTCATTTTTAAGCGCATATCTCCTGAAGAATCCCCGACAAGATTCACACGTAAACACAAAGAAATTTCTGCCTGCTCATTTATTGATATAAGATATAATTAATTAACAAGTTAATAAAATATAAGTAATACAAACTTTTAGCCGTATTTCCACACACTTCGCAAATAAACATTTTTAAAAATATTAAAAAGTTTCAATTTTATTATTTTTATAATTGTATATTTATTTATATTAATAAACTTAGTAAATTTTATGATATTTACAATTATTTGATTTATATTAATTAATGAATTAAATATAATAATAAATATTGTGATTTTTAAATGTATAAATAACTGAAAATACAGAATTATAAATCATGTTGTTTATAATTTTACATTATCTAATTCTCAAATAGTCCTTCACTACAGTTATTGACATTTTAATTGATAATTTCATTTGATAGACAACTCAATGAATTTTAATGTGTTTGTAATAAGAATGTATATTTTATTTATAATAAGTTAAGTTCTTAAGTTAATAACACTGTTAGCATCTATTATCTAGATTTGTTACCAATAAACCATATTCTTTATATATTTACAATATTTTTACATTTATTTTTACAAATTCATATTTATTTTTACAAATTCATATTTATTTATAAGTAGTTATAAATATTGTTATTTATGTAAGTTATTTAATAAATATAGTAATTTAATTTTCACTTAATGTCATTTAAATCATACATTTCTTTAATAATTGGTGCAAAATAGTTGTTATTCTCTTTGTATTCCTCCACAATAAATGTTACATTAAATTCATTCATAATTATTATCTCTTTTACTAAATTCATTAGTGTTTGAAGTTTTGTTTGTGATTCACATTCAGACCGGTATTTCCATAATAGATATCTTTGCAGTAAATATATATACAGTTGTTGTCCGAGTCTAATAAACAATTCATGAAATTAATAAACAATTAATTTACAATTAATTAATTGTATATAAATAAAAAATTTACTTCACGTTATCTCTATGGTATAGATTGGGTCGATTGGGATTGAATAATACTATAGCCATAAACTACATGATAAATAAAATTATTTTTTTATTCAAATATAATGCATTGATAATCATAATAATAATTACCAGATTATTTACAACAGGGTCACTTTTCATGTGGTCGTGTAATTTATAAATGAAAGTTTTCAGCGTTTGTAAAAAACTATAATTCTTGAAAATAAAATCATCAAATTTTACGGAAATAGTGCTGTCGTTGTCCTGTAATTAATAAATATTAAGTTAATTTTTGTAAACAATTATAAAATAAATAAAATTAAACTGTAATTATTAAAGCTGATCAGAATATGTATTTATTCTTGGTCAAATATGTTATATAATATTTATTAAAAATGGTCAAATATGTGCTCATATATTTACTAAAAAGGGGTCAAATATTTACTTATATATTTACTAAAAAAGCCATAAACTACATGATAAATAAAATTATTTTTTTATTCAAATATAATGCATTGATAATCATAATAATAATTACCAGATTATTTACAACAGGGTCACTTTTCATGTGGTCGTGTAATTTATAAATG